AGTCAAACTGTGAACAAAGCCATCCTTCGACCAATATGTCAAATGCCGACACTCAATGAACAGCTTCACAAATTATGCAACGCCAAGTGTTTTTCACTGGTAGATGTCCGTGATGGTTTTCTTCATATTCCTTTGGATGAAGAATCATCTTTCATGACTACGATGCACACGTCTTATGGCAGGTATAGATGGCTACGCCTGCCATTTGGAATTACAAGTGCACCTGGGGAGTTCCAAATAAGACTATCTGCTGCACTTGAAGGTCTAGATGGAACCATATCAATGACTGATGACATTCTCATATACGGTGAAGGAAACACATTAGAGGAGGCGGAACAGGATCATGATCGGCGCTTTATAGCGTTAATGGAAAGATGCTTGACGAAAAATATCAAGTGCCAACCTTATAAACTGAAGTTCAAAATGAAGAAACTGAAAAATTTGTCGGCAACATAATTACTGACAAACGAATGAAAGCGGACCCAGACAAGGTTGCTGCGATCACAGAAATGCCTCCTCCATGCAACAAGGCTGGGCTCCTGAGATTCATAGGGATGGTCAACTACTTATCACCCTTCTGTGAAAATCTTACTTCAGCCTGATGCTAATGGAAAACTTCATCCAGTGGCATTCACATCCTGCAGCATGAATGCAACAGAACAGAGATATTCCCAAATTGAGAAGGAGTGTCTTGCAATATGCAATGCATTTGCCAAGTTTGACCAGTGGCTGTACGGAAAGGCAGACATTGAAGTACATACTGATCATCAGCCACTGGAAACAATCATGAAGAAGCCACTGAACAAGGCCCCTGCAAGGCTACAAAGAATGTTGTTAAAACTACAACGCTATCACTTCACTGTCAAGTACAGAAAAGGGACATCACTTCATCTTGCAGACACACTGTCACGAGCAGCACTTCCAACTCCAATCAATGCCAAGGTGACAGGGTATGAAGTATTCCGTCTGGAACTAGAACACTAATATGATGAGCACAATCCACATCTACATGAAGAAACTGAGGCCAGACTCCAAGAGGAAACTGCGAAAGATCCATTGATGTCTCAGTTGTACACACTGATAGGTCATGGATGGCCAGATGACAGAAACCTACTGGATCAAGCTTGGGCCTCCTACTGGGGCTATAGAGATGAACTTAGCATCAGCAATGGGATCATATACAAAGGTTCACTTGTGATGATCCCAAAGAGCATGTACAGAGAGATGCTGGAAAAGATACACTTGAATCACTTTGGAGCTGAATCAAACATACGAATGGCTCGAGAGGTCCTCTTTTGGCCTGAGATAAGGAACTCTATTCATGATATGTGCAGTGCGTGTGGAACATGTGCACAGTATGGAAATGAAGCACCCAGAGAACCCATGAAGTCTTTGCCAATACCAACCATGTCCTGGCAAATTATAAGTCAAGATTTATTTGCCTTTGAGAAAAAGACTTACCTTGTCACAGTTTGTCACTTCTCTGACTGGATTGAGGTTGACGAATTGGAAGACAGACTCCGCTACAGTGATAGCCAAAACAAAGGCTCATTTCTCTCGCTATGGGATTCCGAGTGTGTGTCATACAGACAATGGACCTCAGTTCATCAGCAAAGAATATGAAGACTTTGCTCAGCAGGATCACTTCAAGCACACAACGTCTTCACCATATCATCCACAAGGAAACGGAAAGGCTGAGTCAGCTGTCAAAGTGGTAAAAGCTATGATGAAGAAATCTGATGACAAAGAACTGGCATTCTTGAACTACAGAAATACTCCTCAAAAGGGACATACCTATTCACCTGCACAACGCATGATGAATCGTCGCACAAGGACTTTGCTGCCGACACCTAATCAACTTCTGCAGCCCCAGGTAGTGGATCCCGAAATAGTTTATAGAGAGATCAGGGGCAAAAGAATCTCTAGCAAGACTCAGTATGATAGATCGTCTGGTACAGAACATGAACCAATAGAAACTGGCAGTTATGTGTATGCTAAACCTCCACCAAACCAGAGAGGAAAACCTTGGGCATATGGGCAAGTCATCCACAAGGACAATACAAGGTCTTACACAATAAAAACCCATGATAGCACACTGAGAAGAAACCGTGTGCAAATCAAGCCAGCAGCTGCGCCACCACCATCGAACAACTACAACTCATCACAGAGGGAGCATAATCAACTGATCTTGAAGAATGCCGAATTCCAAACAGCTGTACAAAGTTCACCCATGAAACCTGTGACAGATCGAAGTGTAACGGCCCAAGCCAGCCCTAACATTACACAGAATGTAGAACAATCAAAGACTACACAGTCAGGTTTTCAACCTACAGAAAGTGTTACAGATGTTACCAAGATATCTGAAGAGAATTGCTCAGTAAAACGTCCACTCAGGGAAAAAAGATTGCCTTTAAGATACAATGACTATATAATACTTGAGTGAATTGATGTAATAATTGTCAACATGGACATGCATGAATTAGTGTCATGAACTTTGAGGCAAGACTATAAGATGCGGTTGCATATACAGACAGTGCCTGTGTGAACTAAGCAGATACATTTAACTAACTGATCATTGCAGCTGTTGAGAACTTTTAATGGTTACAATCGTTTAATATCATTTGAGTTAAAGGAGACATACTCTCTTTCTTTTTCTTCTTCTTTTTTTTTGTTTCTTCCAAAGGAGGGGAGATGTTAGTATGTTCATTTCCGAGTTATTTCGATTGTTGGAAATACGAAGTATTGCGAATGTCAGGCCGGAAGTAGCATGGTCGGGTATCCTTAAAAGATGGCAGCCCGCATGTGTTGTGATCGAGTCCCGGTGTATCGTCAGGCGTAATAAAGCCTCTGCAAATCAAGACAACTGAACTGTGTCTTTATCATTGGTCCAACGAGGTTGTAAACTGTACCTCACTGACTAACACTACTGCCACCAGGAAAAGCTCCTCCACAGCACAGCCAGCTGTCATGGGTACCTCACTGACAAACAATATTGCACCAGGCCAAGATCCTCCACAGCACAGCCAGCTGTCGTAGTACCTCACTGACTAACACTACTGCCGCCAGGAAAAGCTTCTCTACATCCAGCTGTCGTGGTACCTCACTGACTAACACTACAGCCCTAGGACAAGCTCGTCCACATCTAGCTGTTACGGGTACTGCACTGACTAACACTGCTGCACCCAGGACAAGCATCTCCACAGCCATCTTTCACGGGTACCGCACTGACTAACACTACTGTCCCCAGTACAAGCTCCTCATTTACCTCCCCATTCGCGTTTCCCACGAAAACATTTTACTTCCTTTCTTTCTGTTCAACAATGGTGAACATGGACTATTCCGAGCTCTTTTTGACCAATGAACATATAGCACGGAGATTAATATTATGCAAATGACGTATGTCTATTTTCGAGAGACCAATCAAATGCTGTAAAAACCATGTCACCGGTAATTTATTCAATAGACCCAAGGTTGTTTCTTTTTTTAGATGACATCCCATCCTAGAGTCCCCAGACAACCCCTTGGTTGGTTGACCTACCATGCAGTCACGTCAAATAAGTATATAATTTTATGAACCTACCTGTCATATCATTTATTTATTAAATCTATCACATTTCACAACGTCGTATCAAATGCGTATTCCATTTGATTTGATCATTTTTTATCTATAGATTAAAAAATTATTCACTATTTCCAGCAATGTTATTGAAAATAAATCTCGGACATACTCTTCGACAATGGGTCCACATCGAACATGTCAAAGAGCAATATAAAGACGTTTCAAGCAAATCTTTCAATATATTATACAAAGTAGTAAATAAAATCAACAAAAATATATCTTAAAGTTGTCAAACGTACATCTAAGTTATTATTATTACCATCTTTTCGTGTGATCGCATGTAATGTAAGTAAAATGACATCTCAGCTTTCGTCGCCTCAATTTCCTCAGGTCGGACACGATGTTTAATGCAAAGATATAAGCACGAAAAATCTTTGTCACAGCTCGTAACCTAGCACGATACATCCATGAAGTTCCATATTTTTAATATACATCGCGATTTCCTTCTTGAAACGTTCAGAATAACACAATTTAACAAAATTCTTTCGTCAAATTCTGAAATGCATCATACTATAGATGTAATTTGATTGGCTGACTTAGGTCACGTTCTAAGATTTGACCAATTACGAACCTTGTAGCAGATTTCGGCAAAGAAAGTGTCACTAAAAACCAATTTTATCCAAGCTTTCTAGCGATGTATTGTCATATGGCAGTCTTCGACGAACGTGTTATTCGAAAACGGAGGTAGTTCTTCAAGTTACTGAGCGGACAGCCGCTGTTATCAGGAAATGGGTGACGACAGATACTATTTAGAATTCTTTTTAAAATATTTTGTTTTTTTATGAAATCTTATAATTACGAAAATCGTCAATTTTTCGCTTCCTTGGTCCTTAATCTGGACGTTATGAATGTGTTAGATTAAAAAAAAATTATTTACAAAGAATTTAATTAAGTTGTAAATGGAGTATTTAAATAATGTGATAAACATAACTTTCATATTTATAAACAATAGGATTAGACCTTGAAATGGTGTATAATATGTACGTGGTAGCAAAGATGTTTTACAAGCAGATATTTTCTTTGATAAATGTTGGCTTCATCTGTCACACAAGAGTCTCTGGGAACTCGGATGTAAATGCTTCTGGTTGACTGGTGTTGAAAGAGTTAATGTTTTATGAGAGTAATTTAATTTCTTTGTTATCTGAATGTCATAACATGCATAATCAGTCATTATTTATATGCAGCATATATCATGATCATGCAATCTTATGACATTTGTTTTGAAGTTTTGAGTTGTTGATTTTAAAACCACAAGCAAAAATTTGCTTGTGCCTAAATTTTTTTTTACACAACAGAGCAACACACTCCAGAACAGTAGCACACTGAATTTTGTAACTGATCTCGATACCAAGAGGGTAAGAATCACTAATCGTCCGCTCACCTTGTCGGCCACCCTGTCCACCACTTGTGTGATCTTCCTGATCATGGCCGAGTCGGCCTGACACAGCTTCTTCCTCAGAGAATGCGCATCCAGCTGTTCTGCTCCATCTCCGCCTGTGGCCTCCAGGGCGCGTTGTATTGCGTTAAACTCAAGTGACTCTGGAAGCACACACAGCGACCGACGCACCTGCTCAATGTTGTTGATGGTGATGCACAGCTGCAATACAGAGCACAGTGATTGTATGTTAGCGTGCCCCTCCTCATCCAAGTAGTGCAAAGTACTTTGAGTGAATTACATTGTGCCAGCAGTGGTTAGAGAAGTTGTCAACTGTCAGTTGTCACCTTATTCTGCTGGTTGTTCCATATCAGTTTGGTGGACACTGGGCATCACCATTGTGGAGAGCTTACCAGAGATGACCTTTATGTCAGATAGGACCTTTGAACAAGAAATGAACTTGTTTGTGTTACCTGTCCGACAGGATGTCTTGGATTTTCTCTGTCACCTCCTTGATCTTGGGACTCTGGGATTCTGATATGACATTGTTTACTGAACGAAGAAAGGGGAATTTATGTCTGGCCTGCAGTGCCAGGGATGTTTGTGAATCTCTTAGTGCAGGTAATATTTGGCCAGTCAGGTATGTCTTTATGTAGTCTTTTTAATCTGTCAGTTTTGTTAGGTTTCAGTAATTTCATGGTAGTGATGGAGCATCCTGGCCTTATGGCTTGTGGTCTCTGCACATGCTTTCCAGGTTTATATTCAGGTGCCTTCCTGTGCTGTTGGTAATTAATAAACTTGTGTGCAGGATTGCTGTGTTTTTATTGGTTACTTTTGAGCTTTTAATAAATACATGTGAGAGGGAGCTTACATCAGACTGTCAATGAGTTTCACCAAGTTTCCATCTCCCAAGGGTTTAAAAGCAAGGTAACACATAATTGCATTTAGTAATATCTACTAAATGGCTTTATTGCGCATATCCAAACCTTGGGCTTATCACTGTTGTAACTCATCAAGGTAAAACAGTAACTGGAAAAAACTCATCAGTTATACTTTAGCAGGTATTCTGAGATCCACACTATGCAGGGGATGCTGTCCTACATGGAAACAACTAGGACAGTGATGCTCAGATTCAGTGGGGATGCCTGGTCGACCTACGACCAACAATTCCGACACAGAATGTCAAGGGACCCCTCAACCCGCTGGGACAACATTGAATGGGAGTTGTGGCTGAAGTATATGGTCACACAGCCAGCATGACAACCAGAGTCAGGCGGACGGGCACAAGGACACACGGTACATTGCCAGTTAGGAATGCTTGGATTTTAATAAATTTGGTTGTAGCAGACACAACTGCATGTACGCTCTCAAATGGGGGAAGTGTAGCAGAAATTCTCACAGCATTAGGACCTGCTTTCGAGGGAATGGAGTCCAAAATACAATCTTACCCAGGACAGCAAACAAGTCGCCAAGAAAAGTAAATTCAATGGCCCATTCCTCAGTTGTTCTCAATGAAATGGCACCCTGGTTACACCAATATGCTGAGGTCATGTACAGAGACGCAAATTACTTATGGGTAGGTTTTAGTTTTGGTTTCTAGCTTGAGTTTCAGTGTAGCCGCACGAGTCGCCTTGCACGAAACTTGTGATCAGTCATGCACCAAGACACAGCAGGATATGTCAAACAAAACTACAAAAGGAAGTTGACCATGGCAGGATGTCAAGCCCTTCAAGGACATCCCCCTGGACAACCTCCAAGTATCCCCAATAGGCCTGGTGCAAAAGAAGCAGCCAGGCCACGTTCAACAATCCGGTAAGTATGCCGATGATTTCCGTCTACTTCACCATTTTTTTATCCCAAGGGCAATTCTATAAAGGAATATGCCTGTTCCATGGTGTATGCCAGGTTTGATGATGCTATAAATATGGTTCAACAACTGGGAAAGGGAGCATTACAAGCAAAATTTGACATTAAGTCAGCCTTTAGAATTTTAAGATTAGAAGGTGAATTCTATTTTGATAAATGATTACCATTCCGATGCTCCATATCTTGCGGCATATTGGATACTTTTAGTACCTTCTTACAATGATGCATGCAATCACACCTCCCAACGTGCCAGATCATGCATTTCCTGGCCGACTTCCTAACGGAGGCACAGCAGGCACTGATTATTAGACAACCTCAGCTGATGTGTACATACACTTGAACAGTTTGAATTCACTACTGCCCACAACCAGACCGTCAGCCCAAGTACATAACAGACTTTCTTAGGGTTCGAGATTATCACGAATACAATGCTGATCAGAATCCCAGAGTCCAAGATCAAGGAGGTGACAGCCGAATCCAAGCCATCCTGTCGACAGATAACACAAAGGTCACTAGGTTGGCTTAATTCTATGTGCAGGGCTGGCTGGGGCTTCCAGCCATAGGCTAATCAACCTGCTCAGCAAAGGTCAGCAAAGGTAAGCAACCATTTCGCCACATTACCGACTGGGTCAAGGAAGACTTACAAATGTGGTTAACATTTCTCAACGGTAATAATGGCATTTTAGTGTTTAAGGATCAACTATGGGTAGACCTACAACAATCTCTGTCTGAGAACAAATGGTCCACATACTAAACAGGCATCAATGCCTTACAACAGTTCTGGTCTGCATATCATCTACAGGTGTGGATCAGGTTGTTAACTTTATTGCTAACCCGTCCGTCCTAACACAGTCCAGACTTACAATGCTGCGCTGTCTTCACAACACAAATTCTGCAGGCTCACTGATTGTACAAACCATTTCCTGGAGGGTGAGCTATTAACAGACTTATACATATCGGCGGTCTGACCAGACAGCAGAAAATCCATCAAGGCAGATCTGCTGCGGGTAGAAACCAGCCTTCTTGTGGGTTCTTTAGGGTTAGCTAGCTGGTCCAAACTGGACCCTCCAAACCAGGTTGCTCCATCCACAATGTTAGTTTCTCTGGTAATCCCCAACAGCTATCAATCCATCTCCCACACTCATAGTGTGATCAGTACAATATTGAGGCAACAGTTACAATGTCACCTATACCAGGTAATCCACTATGTCCCGTTGTCGCCACAAAGTACCATCTTGAGGCGTGCCCCCCTGGCCCACAACAGACATTTGTTCATTTCGTTCATTCCCCCACTACTAGGTACCAATTCCAGGCACTGCTTAAAAAGGCCTTAGCTGTGGTAGCTGCCACAATGGTTTTCCAAATTGGGCCAGGCAGCGGTAGCTGCCAACTATGCTATCTTGGGTTAGGCAGTGGTAGCTGTTATTGGCAGCGCAGTAGTTGCCAAGCAACGTTCACGTTTCTTATAACTAAATATGCTACAGTATGCAGCAGTACTTGCCATTCACAATGGTAGCTTTTTCGTGTAATTTACTCTTAGTAGCTTAGTAGCCGACTAGCACCTGCACACCATCAGCCAGTTAATCCACTCTCATGTCGTTTTGTTCTTATAGTCACGGGCATCCACAGTTTGGTAGCCTGTACCCCACCTTTGGCATATCATGTGATAATCTGGTAATTGTGGGCTTTAAAGAAGCCCAAGCAGCAGTCAGCGGCAGTCTGGCCTGCTCAGTGACACCACCTCTCCACGGAATTCCTTTCACACCAAGGGATCTGCACCTCCAAAATGAAATCAAAGTCCTATTGCTTGTCTGGTGCAACTTACCTGCTCAGTGATATCAAACTGCCCCTCGTCATCATAGTAGCCAGCAGCAGTCAGCTTCTCATGCACCAAGTCCGCATACAGCTGAGCCCCATTGCTGATGTCCTGCAGATCAAATGAGGTACAGTGAGTTAAAATTGCACGTTGAATCAGCAACAGTACAGGGCAGTGGAAATAGAGTACAAAGGGTGAGGGTGAGAGTGAGGGTGAGGGTGAGGGTAAAGGGTCAAGGTGAGGACAGAGAATGGGGAAGAGGGGGGGGAGGTGAGGGTCTATTACCTCAACAAGTCGGTGTACAAACTGGTAGGCTCCCACCAGATCTGGCCAGGACAGCTGCTTCCAGAACTCAGTGATCTGAAGATATGAAAACACCAACAGTCAGGACTACATCAACGTGGAGGTGGAGTTGGTCAAACATGGCCATCCCAACTGCCATTATCTGGTTTTCACTTGTATGTCCTCAGGACTAAAATAAGCTCTTTGCCCCAACCCCTCCATCCTCTTGTAGGTTTATTGACATGAGGAGGGGAGATCCTCTGGCAATGGAAGTGTTATAACGGATGTGAAGAGATCCCTTCTCTCTCTCCCTTCTCCTGCTCACCTGGGCAAAGCAACAGCACACATCCACAGCAGACGTGCTATACTTCACCACAGCATCCACCTGGGCCACCTGAAGGCAGAAAACAACATGCATTCACAAGCAGTTAACTCCATACATTCCACAGCAGTTAACTCCCTACATCCCACAGCAGTTAACTCCCTACATCCCACAGCATTAACTCCCTATATCCCAAAGCAGTTAACTCCCTACATCCCACAGCAGTTAACTCCCTACATCCCACAGCAGTTAACTCCCTACATCCACAGCAGTTAACTCCCTACATTCCACAGCAGTAAACCTACATACAGTTCACAGCAGTAAACTCCATACATTCAACAGCAGTTAACTCCCTACATTCCACAGCAGTTAATTCCATACATTCCACAGCAGTAAACTCCATACAGTTCACAGCAGTAAACTCCATACAGTTCACACTAGTAAACTCCATACAGTTCACAGCAGTAAACTCCATACATTCAACAGCAGTTAATTCCATACATCCCACAGCAGTTAACTCCATACATTCCACAGCAGTAATCTACATACAGTTCACAGCAGTAAACTCCATAAATTCCACAGCAGTAAACTCCATACATTCCACAGCAGTAAACCCCATACATCCAACAGCAGTTAATTCCATACATTCAACAGCAGTATACTCCATACAGTTCATAGCAGTAAACTCCATACAGTTCACAGCAGTTAATTCCATACATTCCACAGCAGTAAACTCCATACATTCCACAGCAGTAAACTCCATACATTCTGCAGGAGTAAACTCCATACAGTTCATAGCAGTAAACTCCATACAGTTCACAGCAGTAAACTCCATACAGTTCACAGCAGTAAACCTACATACAGTTCACAGCAGTAAACCTACATACAGTTCACAGCAGTAAACTCCATACATTCCCCCACAGTTAACACCATACATTCCCCCACAGTTAACTCCATACAGTTTATAGCAGTAAACCTACATACAGTTCACAGCAGTAAACTCCATACAGTTCACAGCAGTAAACTCCATACATTCCACAGCAGTAAACTCCATACATTTCCCAGCAGTAAACTCCATACAGTTCACAGCAGTAAACTCCATACCGTTCACAGCAGTAAACTCAATTCAGTTCACAGCAGTAAACTCAATACAGTTCACAGCAGTAAACTCCATACAGTTCACAGCAGTAAACTCCATACAGTTCACAGCAGTAAACTCCATACAGTTCACAGCAGGTCGCTCCATACATTCCACCATAGTTAACTCCATACAGTTCACAGCAGTAAACTCCATACAGTTCACAGCAGTAAACTCCATACATGGATCCTACTGGGTCTGACCTTATCAAGCTCTACATGGATCCCACTGGGTCTGACCTTATTAAGCTCCACATGGATCCTACTGGGTCTGACCTTATCAAGCCCCACATGTACCCCACTGGGTCTGACCGTATCAAGCTCCACATGGATCCTATTGGGTCTGACATTATTAAGCTCCACTTGGATCCTTCTGGGTCTGACCTTATCAAGTCCCACATGAACCCTACTGGGTCTGACCTGATCAAGTTCCACTTGGATCCTTGTGGGTCTGACCGTATCAAGCTCCACTTTGATCCTTGTGGGTCTGACCTCATCAAGCTCCACAAGGATCCTGCTGGGTCTGACCTTATCAAGCTCCACATGGATCCTACTGGGTCTGACCTTATTAAGCCCAACATGAACCCCACCGGGTCTGACCTTATCAAGCTCCACAAGGATCCTGCTGGGTCTGACCTTATCAAGCCCCACATGAACCCTACTGGGTCTGACCTTATCAAGTTCCACAGCTTTGCGGATCCTCTTGAGAGCCTTGTGTCTGGCAATGCAGAGCCACTTGCTGACAGCGAAGCCAAACCACTCATAGTACTGGGAGATGGCCAGACTCCTCAGTTCTCTGTCAGGAGGAAGGATGGAAGATTAACTTAGGCTTTGACCAATTATGGATTTGTCCTGAGTGAAATTAAAGTTTTCAGTCACGAGGGGGGACATTTAAACATTAATGTTATTGGTGTCTCAATACTGATGTATTCTACATGACATATTACCCAGGTGGCAAGGTGTGTTTCACTGCACAAGACTGGTGTATTCCACAAGACATATTACCCAGGTGGCAAGGTGTGTCTCACTGTACAAGACTGGTGTATTCTACAAGACATATTACCCAGGTGGCAAGGTGTGTCTCACTGCACAAGACTGGTGTATTCTACAAGACATATTACCCAGGTGGCAAGGTGTGTCTCACTGCACAAGACTGGTGTATTCTACAAGACATATTACCCAGGTGGCAAGTTGTGTCTCACTGCACAAGACTGGTGTATTCTACAAGACATATTACCCAGGTGGCAAGGTGTGTCTCACTGCACAAGACTGGTGTATTCTACAAGACATATTACCCAGGTGGCAAGGTGTGTTTCACTGCACAAGACTGGTGTATTCTACAAGAGATATTACCCAGGTGGCAAGGTGTGTCTCACTGCACAAGACTGGTGTATTCTACAAGACATATTACCCAGGTGGCAAGTTGTGTCTCACTGCACAAGACTGGTGTATTCTACAAGACATATTACCCAGGTGGCAAGGTGTGTCTCAGTGTACAAGAGTGATGTATTCTACATGTAATACTACCCAGATGGTAAGTTGTAGGTGCGTCTCACTGCACAAGACTGGTGTATTCTACATGTAATACTACCCAGGTGGTAAGTTGTAGTTGTGTCTCACTGTACAAGACTGATGTATTCTACATGTAATACTACCCAGGTGGCAAGTTGTGTCTCACTGTACGGGACTGATGTATTCTACATGTAATACTACCCAGGTGGTAAGTTGTAGTTGTGTCTCACTGTACAAGACTGATGTATTCTACATGTAATACTACCCAGGTGGCAAGTTGTGTCTCACTGTACGGGACTGATGTATTCTACATGTAATACTACCCAGATGGTAAGTTGTAGGTGCGTCTCACTGCACAAGACTGGTGTATTCTACATGTAATACTACCCAGGTGGTAAGTTGTAGTTGTGTCTCACTGTACAAGACTGATGTATTCTACATGTAATACTACCCAGGTGGCAAGTTGTGTCTCACTGTACGGGACTGATGTATTCTACATGTAATACTACCCAGGTGGTAAGTTGTGTCTCACTGTACAAGACCGATGTATTCTACATGTAATACTTCCCAGGTGGTAAGTTGTAGTTGCATCTCACTGTACAAGACTGATGTATTCTACATGTAATACTACCCAGGTGGCAAGTTGTAGTTGTGTCTCACTGTACAAGACTGATGTATTCTACATGTAATACTACCCAGGTGGTAAGTTGTAGTTGTGTCTCACTGTACAAGACTGATGTATTCTACATGTAATACTACCCAGGTGGCAAGTTGTGTCTCACTGTACGGGACTGATGTATTCTACATGTAATACTACCCAGGTGGTAAGTTGTGTCTCACTGTACAAGACCGATGTATTCTACATGTAATACTTCCCAGGTGGTAAGTTGTAGTTGCATCTCACTGTACAAGACTGATGTATTCTACATGTAATACTACCCAGGTGGCAAGTTGTAGTTGTGTCTCACTGTACAAGACTGATGTATTCTACATGTAATACTACCCAGGTGGTAAGTTGTAGTTGTGTCTCACTGTACAAGACTGATGTATTCTACATATAATACCACCCAGGTGGTAAGTTGTGTCTCACTGTACAAGACTGATGTATTCTACATGTAATACTACCCAGGTGGTAAGTTGTAGTTGTGTCTCACTGTACAAGACTGATGTATTCTACATGTAATAATACCCAGGTGGTAAGTTGTGTCTCACTGTACAAGACTGATGTATTCTACATGTAATACTACCCAGGTGGCAAGTTGTGTCTCACTGTACAAGACTGATGTATTCTACATGTAATACTACCCAGGTGGTAAGTTGTAGTTGTGTCTCACTGTACAAGACTGATGTATTCTACATGTAATACCACCCAGGTGGCAAGTTGTAGTTGTGTCTCACTGTACAAGACTGATGTATTCTACATGTAATACTACCCAGGTGGTAAGTTGTAGGTGCGTCTCACTTTACAAGACTGATGTATTCTATGTGTAATACTACCCAGGTGGTAAGTTGTAGGTGCGTCTCACTGTACAAGACTGATGTATTCTACATGTAATACTACCCAGGTGGTAAGTTGTAGTTGTGTCTCACTCTACAAGACTGATGTAAACTACATGTAATACTACCCAGGTGGTAAGTTGTTTGAGTATCTGGCAAACTCCTGCAAGGCAAGGTACAGCTCAAACAAGGTGGTGCCCATGGTTGGGGGTGGGGGGCCCAAGCTGTCCAGTTCCCGGTCGCAGTCCATCTTCTTGAGGATGACAGAGATATCCTGGTTGACTTCTTCGCCAAGCTAGGGAGGGGCACAAGAGAACGGGTGATAACTCACACTTCAACTCACATGGGGACAGGAGAACAGGTGATCACTTACACTTCAACTCACAGGTGCACAAGAGCACGGGTGATAACTCACACTTCAACTCACAGGGGCACAATAGAACAGATGATAACTCACACTTCAACTCACAGGGGGACAAGAGAACAGGTGATTACTCACACTTCAACTCACAGGGGCACAAGAGAATGGGTGATAACTCACACTTCCACTCACAGGGGGACAGGAGAACAGGTGATAACTCACACTTCAACTCTGAGGGGGACAGGTGATGACTTACACTTCAACTCACATGGGGACAGGTGATGACTTACACTTCAACTCACAGGGGGACAGGTGATGACTTACACTTCAACTCACATGGGGACAGGTGATGACTTACACTTCAACTCACAGGGGGACACATGATGACTTACACTTCAACTCACATGGGGACACATGATGACTTACACTTCAACTCACAGGGGGACAGGTGATGACTTACACTTCAACTCACAGGGGGACAGGTGATGACTTACACTTCAACTCACAGGGGGACAGGTGATGACTTACACTTCAACTCACAGGGGGACAGGTGATGACTTACACTTCAACTCACAGGGGGACAGGTGATGACTTACACTTCAACTCACATGGGGACAGGTGATGACTTACACTTCAACTCACAGGGGGACACATGATGACTTACACTTCAACTCACATGGGGACACATGATGACTTACACTTCAACTCACAGGGGGACAGGTGATGACTTACACTTCAACTCACAGGGGGACACATGATGACTTACACTTCAACTCACATGGGGACAGGTGATGACTTACACTTCAACTCACAGGGGGACAGGTGATGACTTACACTTCAACTCACAGGGGGACAGGTGATGACTTACACTTCAACTCACAGGGGGACACATGATGACTTACACTTCAACTCACAGGGGGACACATGATGACTTACACTTCAACTCACATGGGGACACGTGATGACTTACACTTCAACTCACAGGGGGACACATGATGACTTACACTTCAACTCACATGGGGACAGGTGATGACTTACACTTCAACTCACAGGGGGACAGGTGATGACTTACACTTCAACTCACATGGGGACACGTGATGACTTACACTTCAACTCACAGGGGGACACGTGATGACTTACACTTCAACTCACAGGGGGACACGTGATGACTTACACTTCAACTCACAGGGGGACAGGTGATGACTTACACTTCAACTCACAGGGGGACACATGATGACTTACACTTCAACTCACATGGGGACAGGTGATGACTTACACTTCAACTCACAGGGGGACAGGTGATGACTTACACTTCAACTCACATGGGGACACGTGATGACTTACACTTCAACTCACAGGGGGACACATGATGACTTACACTTCAACTCACAGGGGGACAGGTGATGACTTACACTTCAACTCACAGGGGGACACATGATGACTTACACTTCAACTCACAGGGGGACACATGATGACTTACACTTCAACTCACATGGGGACACGTGATGACTTACACTTCAACTCACAGGGGGACACATGATGACTTACACTTCAACTCACATGGGGACAGGTGATGACTTACACTTCAACTCACAGGGGGACAGGTGATGACTTACACTTCAACTCACAGGGGGACAGGTGATGACTTACACTTCAACTCACAGGGGGACACATGATGACTTACACTTCAACTCACATGGGGACAGGTGATGACTTACACTTCAACTCACAGGGGGACACATGATGACTTACACTTCAACTCACAGGGGGACAGGTGATGACTTACACTTCAACTCACAGGGGGACACATGATGACTTACACTTCAACTCACAGGGGGACACATGATGACTTACACTTCAACTCACATGGGGACACGTGATGACTTACACTTCAACTCACAGGGGGACACATGATGACTTACACTTCAACTCACAGGAGAACAAGGGGAGATAACTCACACTTTAATAACAAGATAGGGGGACAAGAGAATGGAAATCATTGGAAATTATTCTCACCTTACCCAACTTTTGGGTGACAAAACAAGGGAGATGAGAGCACATAGTTTATACTTTACTCATCTCTGAGGACCAGATTGGAGATTAGGGGAGATAACTCACAGTTCACCCTTACACTGTGGTGTAAGTGGGAAGATCAGGGGAGATAACTCACACTTTACCAAACTATGGGGCAATCTGCCAAACAGAGGGCGCTGTCATAACTTTTTTTACGGGCTTGACTGAAATAACCTAACGTGAGATTGGCTATGGAGCACAAGATCAGGGTGTATAACTCACTTTAACCTGCAGTGTGATCAGGGGAGATAACCCACACTTCACTCATCTAGTGTACCACTAGACAGACTTCAATAGGCCTACCCCCTCCCTATAACACCCTAATGAAAATGCAAATTAGTAATATTTTATTTTTATTAACACCCCCTCCCTATATCACCCTCACCCTCCCTATTTCACCCTCTCACCTCCCCATAACACCCTCCAACCTCACTATAACACTCTCCAACCTCACTATAACACATTTATGAAAATGAAAATTAATAATATTTTATTTGATAAAATAGAGCATTGTCATTGTCATTGTGGCAGATGACCTACAGTCCCCACGTGCATTGGACAGAGAACACGAAATCACACGCAAGACATGCTGCTACGACTGAATTGTCCCATGATGAGTCCTCGCTCCCTCCACTTGACACCATCATCATTACACAGCTTCTTTCTGGTAATTACCAACCAGATGTTAATCTGGTACTTCCAGCGCTAAACTTGCTAACTACCGTTACTTTACACACAGAGTAGATTGTAGCTGTAACAAAACCGTTTGGTGTAAATATACAACCTCTATGAGCAGACTGATACATGCTGTTAGTGGAACCAGACAGTACTAAGTCAGTATCACACAAACAAATATAAGTTAGTCATGGTCTACTTACTGTTAACACCTCACGTGAAGTTACGAGCAAGTTTGTGTACAACAGACACAACGATAAAAAATATGATGGTAGATTTCATAAGAAATGTGTATGGTTAGTTTGCATCTAGAAAAGAAAGCTTGTTAGACAAATGTTTACATCTTACATACTGACTGAAAAAGAAATTAATGAAGAAACAAATAACATCTATAGTGAATGTGAGTGAGAAATTGCCATGTTGTGAATGGGTGGAGACAAACGCAGCCGACACCTCCAAGTGACTCACACTCCTCCACAAGATGTCATTGAAGCTTTGAGGCTTTTTTATTCAAGGAATTGAAAAAATATTTTATAGTGGCATAAATAAATATTGAGGGAATTTTGAGACATAACAATGTTGATTATTATGTTATTGAGTATTTTCAAGATTGCACATAGAAAGATTGCCCACTGTTTTCACTGTCTTGTACTGACTTATTTAGAAATATTTTTCTACTTTCTTGTTCCTGTCCCTCGAATATCAAAACCATGTCTACTTGCAAGCCTTTTAAAGACATTTCATACAACAGGTAGAACTTGCACATAGATCATATGTGGATCATACAGGGTAAATGCTGTCAAGGATGTGGTGTAGATCGTCAGCTCGGAACTTCTTGAACATTATTATGATTTTCAGGTCATTGCCTGAACGTGTGACACAGGTCTGAGTCTGTGACTTGTGCCACCATTTTATTCCCTGCCATAGTAAACTGTGCTGCTCTCTGTGTATTAATTATTAATACATGAACAAAGCTCATTGTGTGACATATATCCCCAGTATGTTGCATATGTCTTGATTGAAGATTTTGTGCATGAATCATTGATGTGGTGAATGTGCACACAACAAACTTGTGAACATCTATAGCTACTCTAGGTCTAAGATTCATTCTGATGTCTTCATAACTAGCTAATCTATCATTCCAATATAAAAGTTTCATAGTGTTTAAAACATTATAAGGACATACCATTTAGAATTATCTGAACTGATATTTCAAAAAAAAGTTGGTGTCTGAAATGGTTGTTTAGTTGCTGAAATGAATGCAGTCGTCAGAACAAAGCAGTTACATCGGACGTGAACTGGTCTGCTCAGTAATGTCATGGAACTGATGCCTGGCCAAGTATCTACCGGTAGTCTTGAAAACATGACCGCAGCTGTCCGGCATTTCATAAGTGTTCATTAACTTTGAGATTTACGGAGTCTGTTTAACCACTTCATAATCTACACTCACCATATACTCCTACACACTCATAGCGGTTAATAAACTGCAAAACCAAAAGGACTACAGTTATCTCGGCCAGACATGCAGCGGACTGACTGCCTCCACAGCGCTTTGGCTGGACCCACTCGACCTGGTAACACCCAATGATAGTGATCCAAGATAAAAACAGAGCTTAAACAGTGACTGCACCAACCGAATAGTGAACGCAAAGCAAATGAAGAGAAAGATAACTAACTGAGTGAGACAAACCTCCTCCTCCAGCCCTTGGCTGATGTCCGCGGCAAGCTGTCGGGAGAAACACGGTACAATAAACACAAACAGATGGACAGAGCGGACATCTACCACAGCTTCAATACCCCATAGCAGCGCCACCAAGCAGCCAGTTGTGGGAACATTCACAGCGCGGTTTAGAAGAAGGGATGTTTTTCTTTACACAAAAAAAGTTTTGGCACAGCCTCATCATTGAGAACTGATATTCATGTGTTTAAATAAGAAATTGGAAAACACCACTTTTCAAGAAACATTAAAGGTTGTTTACAAACCTAGCCCCAATATGAGTTAATGGGGCATCAGGCCGTGGTTGTGTTGGATCAAAAAGGGCCTCCCCATCCATCTCCCCTAAGGCATCAGGTCGTGGTTGTAAGGGATCATACAGGGTCTCCCCTCCCATCTCCCCTGGGGCATCAGGTCATGGATCATACAGGACCTCACCCAACCATCACCCCTTGGGCTTCAGGTCGTGGGAGTGTTGGATCATACAGGGCCTCCCAACCCATCTCCCCTGGGGCATCAGGTTGTGGATCATACAGGGTCTCCCAACCCATCTCCCCTGGGGCATCAGGTCGTGGATCATACAGGGCCTCCCAGCCCATCTTCCCTGGGGCATCAGGTCGTGGATCATACAGGGTCTCCAAACCCATCTCCCCTGGGGCATCAGGTCGTGGATCATACAGGGTCTCCCCATCCATCTCTCCTGGGGCATCAGGTCGTGGTTGTAAGGGATCATACAGGGCCTCCCCACCCGTCTCCCCTGGGGCATCAGGTCATGGATCATACAGGGTCTCCAAACCCATCTCCCCTGGGGCATCAGGTCGTGGATCATACAGGGTCTCCCCATCCATCTCTCCTGGGGCATCAGGTCATGGATCATACAGGGTCTCCAAACCCATCTCCCCTGGGGCATCAGGTCGTGGATCATACAGGGCCTCCCCATCCATCTCTCCTGGGGCATCAGGTCGTGGTTGTAAGGGATCATACAGGGCCTCCCCACCCGTCTCCCCTGGGGCATCAGGTCATGGATCATACAGGGTCTCCAAACCCATCTCCCCTGGGGCATCAGGTCGTGGATCATACAGGGTCTCCCCATCCATCTCTCCTGGGGCATCAGGTCATGGATCATACAGGGTCTCCAAACCCATCTCCCCTGGGGCATCAGGTCGTGGATCATACAGGGCCTCCCCATCCATCTCTCCTGGGGCATCAGGTTGTCATAGTGTTGGATCATACAGGGCCTCCCCATCCATCTCTCCTGGGGCATCAGGTTGTCGTAGTGTTGGATCATACAGGGCCTCCCCACCCGTCTCCCCTGGGGCATCAGGTCGTGGATCATACAGGGTCTCCCAACCCATCTCCCCTGGGGCATCAGGTCGTGGATCATACAGGGCCTCCATCCCCTACCAGGGCCCTAAAGTTAATCTTGGTATTGGTAGTATCCTGCTATGTATGAAATGCTGTTATGACCAGACATGCTATAAGGATCAACACACACAGCACAACATCTGCACCTTGGGGAGCAACAGATCTGTGAGGGAGGCCTGACACGGGGACACCTTGACCCTACCTATAAGGACAGGCAAACATACTTTCTAGAGAACAATAATTATGCTTCATCAGCAGGTTTAGGACATACTTTATATTATTGCTGAGGGGGTCATTGTTGGTATGTTTCTGTACACACAAATGTACCCTTGCCAAAATCAGAATACAGAAAGGTTCATTCAGGTTCATGTTGTAGCTCTGGTTCGCCTGATGATAAGTGCATGCTGGGTAATGCTGTGCATCGTGGAATACTTGAGTATCGTACATACGTCACTGTGTTTGCTGTTTTTTTATATAGCACACTGGAATGCGACTCATACAATAGTTCCTATCCATTTATGGAAAGGAAATACCAAGAGAAACATATAGAACGAGTACTTGAATTCACCATGGTTTTGCATCAAGGACATGTCGAACACATAATTGTTCAAAGAACCAGTTAAGCGCATTGGGCAATACAGTCTGCGGGGATTGAACTCATGCTAGGGTACCTTTCTGTATTCTGGTTTCAGTATACAGAAACATACCTGGAGTACATATCTGTAGTACCTGTGTCAACACCGACCCCTTCAGCTATATTATTCAATATGTTTAACACCATGCAGGAAATAGATACAGCCATGACGTTACAGCCCCTCAGGCTTACGGAGCCCTCACCATCTTTTCCAGCTGTCGATAGGTCAAGGAAAAGTAGTTCACGCTCACAAGACTGAAAAACAAAATGAACAGATTATTACACGTACATGAGAGGGTACCAACTGTGGTCCACAGACCTTGGACATGGAGAACTGCTCAACTACTGTGACTGAGCTGACCTGGGACATGGAGGACTGCTCAACTACTGTGAGTGAGCAATGCTGGGACATGGAGAACTGCTCAACAACTGTGAGCAATGCTGGGACATGGAGGACTGCTCAACTACTCTGAGTGAGCTGACCTGGGACATGGAGGACTGCTCAACAACTGTGAGTGAGCAATGCTGGGACATGGAGAATTGCTCAACTACTGTGAGCAATGCTGGGACATGGAGGACTTCTCAACTACTGTAAGTAAGCAATGCTACGACATGGAGAACTGCTCAACTACTGTGAGTGAGCTGACCTGGGACATGGAGGACTGCTCAACTACTGTGAGCAATGCTTGAACATGGAGGACTGCTCAACTACTGTGAGTAAGCTGATCTGGGACATGGAGGACTCCTCTACTACTGTGAGCAATGCTTGAACATGGAGGACTGCTCAACTACTGTGAGTAAGCTGACCTGGGACATGGAGAACTGCTCAACTACTGTGAGCAATGCTGGGACATGGATGACTGCTAAACAACTGTGAGTGAGCAATGCTACGACATGGAGAACTGCTCAACTACTGTGAGTGAGCTGACCTGGGACATGAGTGAGCTGACCTGGGACATGGCGGACTGCTCAACTACTGTGAGCAATGCTGGGACATGGAGGACTGCTCAACTACTGTGAGCAATGCTGGGACATGGAGGACTGCTCAACAACTGTGAGTGAGCTGACCTGGGACATGGACGACTTCTCAACTACTGTGAGTGAGCAATGTGGGGACATGGAGAACTGCTCAACTACTGTGAGCAATGCTGGGACATAGAGGACTGGTCAACAACTGTGAGTGAGCTGAACTGGGTCATGGAGAACTGCTCAACTACTGTGAGCAATACTGGGACATGGAGGACTGGTAAACAACTGTGAGCAATGTTGGGACATGGAGGACTTCTCAACTACTGTGAGTGAGCTGAACTGGGACATGGAGAACTGCTTAGCTACTGTGAGCAATGCTGGGACATGGAGGACTTTTCAACTACTGTGAGTGAGCTGACCTGGGACATGGAGGACTGCTCAACTACTGTGAGTGAGCTGACCTTTGACATAGAGGACTCCTCTACTACTTTGAGCAATGCTACGACATGGAGAACTGCTCAACTACTGTGAGTGAGCTGAACTTGGACATGGAGGACTGCTCAACTACTGTAAGCTGACCTGGGACATGGAGGACTGCTCAACTACTGTGAGTGAGCTGATCTGGGACATGTAGAACTGCTCAACTACCATGAGCAATGCTGGAACATGGAGGACTATTCAACTACTGCGACTGAGCTGACCTCGGACATGGAGAACTGCTCAACGACTGAGCGAGCAATGCTGGGACATGGAGAGCTGCTCAACAACTGTGAGTGAGCAATTCCAGGACATGGAGAACTGCTCAACTACTGGGAGTAATGCTGGGACATGGAGAGCTGCTCAACAACTGTGACTGAGCTGACCTGGGACATGGAGAACTGCTCAACTACTGTGAGTAAGCTGACCTTGGACATAGAGGACTGCTCAACTACTGTGACTGAGCTGACCTGGGACATGGAGAACTGCCTAACTACTGTGAGTGAGCTGACCTGGGACATGGTGGACTGCTCAACTACTGCGACTGAGCTGACTTCGGACATGGAGGACTGCTCAACTACTGTGACTGAGCTGATCTGGGACATGGAGGACTGCTCAACAACTGTGAGTGAGCTGACCTGGGACATGGAGAACTGCTCAACTACTGTGAGTGAGCTGACCTGGGACATGGAGGACTGCTCAACTACCGTAAGTGAGCTGACCTGGAACATGGAGGACTCCTCAACTACTGTGAGCAATGCTGGGACATGTAGGACTGCTCAACTACTATGAGTGAGCAATGCTACAACATGAAGAACTGCTCAACTACTGTGAGTGAGCTGACCTGGGACATGTAGGACTGCTCAACTACTGTGAGCAATGTTTGGACAAGGAGGACTTTTCAACTACTGTGAGTGACTAATGCTGGAACATGGGTAACTGCTCAACTACTGTGAGTGAGCTGACCTGGAACATGGAGGACTGCTCAACTACTGTGAGCAATGTTTGGACAAGGAGGACTTCTCAACTACTGTGAGTGACTAATGCTGGAACATGGGTAACTGCTCAACTACTGTGAGTGAGCTGACCTGGGACATGGAGAACTGCTCAACTACTGTGAGCAATGCTGGAACATGGAGGACTATTCAACTACTGCGACTGAGCTGACCTGGGACATGGAGAACTGCTCAACGACTGAGCAAGCAATGCTGGGACATGGAGAGCTGCTCAACAACTGTGAGTGAGCAATTCCAGGACATGGAGAACTGCTCAACTACTGTGAGTAATGCTGGGACATGGAGAGCTGCTCAACAACTGTGACTGAGCTGACCTGGGACATGGAGAACTGCCTAACTACTGTGAGTAAGCTGACCTGGGACATGGAGGACTGCTCAACAACTGTGAGTGAGCTGACCTTGGACATGGAGGACTGCTCAACAACTGTGAGTGAGCTGACCTGGGACATGGAGAACTGCCTAACTACTGTGAGTGAGCTGACCTGGGACATGGAGGACTGCTCAACAACTGTGAGTGAGCTGACCTTGGACATGGAGGACTGCTCAACAACTGTGAGTGAGCTGACCTGGGACATGGAGAACTGCCTAACTACTGTGAGTGAGCTGACCTGGGACATGGTGGACTGCTCAACTACTGCGACTGAGCTGATCTGGGACATGGACGACTTCTCAACTACTGTGAGTGAGCAATGTGGGGACATGGAGAACTGCTCAACTACTGTGAGCAATGCTGGGACATAGAGGACTGGTCAACAACTGTGAGTGAGCTGAACTGGGACATGGAGAACTGCTCAACTACTGCGACTGAGCTGACTTCGGACATGGAGGACTGCTCAACTACTGTGACTGAGCTGATCTGGGACATGGAGGACTGCTCAACAACTGTGTGTGAGCTGACCTGGGACATGGAGAACTGCTCAACTACTGTGAGTGAGCTGACCTGGGACATGGAGGACTGCTCAACTACCGTAAGTGAGCTGACCTGGGACATGGAGGACTCCTCAACTACTTTGAGCAATGTTGGGACATGGAGGACTTCTCAACTACTATGAGTGAGCAATGCTACAACATGAAGAACTGCTCAACTACTGTGAGTGAGCTGACCTTGGACATGTAGGACTGCTCAACTACTGTGAGCAATGCTGGGACATGGAGGACTGCTCAACAACTGTGAGTGAGCTGACCTGGGACATGGACGACTTCTCAACTACTGTGAGTGAGCAATGTGGGGACATGGAGAACTGCTCAACTACTGTGAGCAATGCTGGGACATAGAGGACTGGTCAACAACTGTGAGTGAGCTGAACTGGGACATGGAGAACTGCTCAACTACTGTGAGCAATACTGGGACATGGAGGACTGATAAACAACTGTGAGCAATGTTGGGACATGGAGGACTTCTCAACTACTGTGAGTAAGCTGAACTGGGACATGGAGAACTGTTTAGCTACTGTGAGCAATGCTGGGACATGGAGGACTTTTCAACTACTGTGAGTGAGCTGACCTGGGACATGGAGGACTGCTCAACTACTGTGAGTGAGCTGACCTTGGACATAGAGGACTCCTCTACTACTTTGAGCAATGCTACGACATGGAGAACTGCTCAACTACTGTGAGTGAGCTGAACTTGGACATGGAGGACTGCTCAACTACTGTAAGCTGACCTGGGACATGGAGGACTGCTCAACTACTGTGAGTGAGCTGATCTGGGACATGTAGAACTGCTCAACTACCATGAGCAATGCTGGAACATGGAGGACTATTCAACTACTGCGACTGAGCTGACCTCGGACATGGAGAACTGCTTAACGACTGAGCGAGCAATGCTGGGACATGGAGAGCTGCTCAACAACTGTGAGTGAGCAATTCCAGGACATGGAGAACTGCTCAACTACTGGGAGTAATGCTGGGACATGGAGAGCTGCTCAACAACTGTGACTGAGCTGACCTGGGACATAGAGGACTGCTCAACTACTGTGACCGAGCTGACCTGGGACATAGAGGACTGCTCAACTACTGTGACTGAGCTGACCTGGGACATGGAGAACTGCCTAACTACTGTGAGTAAGCTGACCTTGGACATAGAGGACTGCTCAACTACTGTGACTGAGCTGACCTGGGACATGGAGAACTGCCTAACTACTGTGAGTAAGCTGACCTGGGACATGGAGGACTGCTCAACTACTGTGAGTGAGCTGACCTTGGACATGGAGGACTGCTCAACAACTGTGAGTGAGCTGACCTGGGACATGGAGAACTGCCTAACTACTGTGAGTGAGCTGACCTGGGACATGGTGGACTGCTCAACTACTGCGACTGAGCTGACTTCGGACATGGAGGACTGCTCAACTACTGTGACTGAGCTGATCTGGGACATGGAGGACTGCTCAACAACTGTGTGTGAGCTGACCTGGGACATGGAGAACTGCTCAACTACTGTGAGTGAGCTGACCTGGGACATGGAGGTCTGCTCAACTACCGTAAGTGAGCTGACCTGGGACATGGAGGACTCCTCAACTACTTTGAGCAATGCTGGGACATGGAGGACTTCTCAACTACTATGAGTGAGCAATGCTACAACATGAAGAACTGCTCAACTACTGTGAGTGAGCTGACCTGGGACATGTAGGACTGCTCAACTACTGTGAGCAATGTTTGGACAAGGAGGACTTTTCAACTACTGTGAGTGACTAATGCTGGAACATGGGTAACTGCTCAACTACTGTGAGTGAGCTGACCTTGGACATGTAGGACTGCTCAACTACTGTGAGCAATGCTGGGACATGGAGGACTGCTCAACAACTGTGAGTGAGCTGACCTGGGACATGGAGGACTGCTCAACTACTGTGAGTGAGCTGACCTGGGACATGGAGGACTGCTCAACTACTGTGAGCAATGCTGGTACATGGAGGACTACTCAACTACTGTGACTGAGCTGACCTCGGACATGGAGAACTGCTCAAAGACTGTGAGTGAGCAATGCTGGGACATGGAGGACTGCTCAACAACTGTGAGCAATGTTGAGACATGGAGGACTTCTCAACTACTGTGAGTGAGCAATGGTACAACATGGAGAACTGCTCAACTACTGTGAGTGAGCTGACCTGGGACATGGAGGACTGCTCAACTACTGTGAGCAATGCTGGAACATGGAGGACTACTCAACTACTGCGACTGAGCTGACCTTGGACATGGAGAACTGCTCAAAAACTGTGAGTGAGCAATGGTACAACATGGAGAACTGCTAAACTTCTGTGAGTGAGCTGACCTGGGACATGGAGGACTGCTCAACTACTGTGAGTGAGCTGAACTGGGACATGGAGGACTGCTCAACTACTGTGAGTGAGCTGACCTGGGACATGGAGAACTGCTCAACGAATGTGAGTGAGCAATGCTGGGACATGGAGGACTGCTTAACTACTGTGAGTGAGCTGACCTGGGACATGGAGAACTGCTCAACGACTGTGAGTGAGCAATGCTCGGACATGGAGGACTGCTCAACAACTGTGAGTGAGCTGACCTGGGACATGGAGGACTCCTCTACTACTGTGAGCAATGCTACGACATGGAGAACTGCTCAACTACTGTGAGTGAGCTGACCTGGGACATGGAGAACTGCTCAACGACTGTGAGTGAGCAATGCTGGGACATGGAGGACTGCTCAACAACTGTGAGCAATGTTGAGACATGGAGGACTTCTCAACTACTGTGAGTGAGCAATGGTACAACATGGAGAACTGCTCAACAACTGTGAGTGAGCTGACCTAGGACATGGAGGACTGCTCAACTACTGTGAGTGAGCTGAACTGGGACATGGAGGACTGCTCAACTACTGTGAGTGAGCTGACCTGGGACATGGAGAACTGCTCAACGAATGTGAGTGAGCAATGCTGGGACATGGAGGACTGCTTAACTACTGTGAGTGAGCTGACCTGGGACATGGAGAACTGCTCAACGACTGTGAGTGAGCAATGCTCGGACATGGAGGACTGCTCAACAACTGTGAGTGAGCTGACCTGGGACATGGAGGACTCCTCTACTACTGTGAGCAATGCTACGACATGGAGAACTGCTCAACTACTGTGAGTGAGCTGACCTGGGACATGGAGAACTGCTCAACGACTGTGAGTGAGCAATGCTGGGACATGGAGGACTGCTCAACAACTGTGAGCAATGTTGAGACATGGAGGACTTCTCAACTACTGTGAGTGAGCAATGGTACAACATGGAGAACTGCTCAACAACTGTGAGTGAGCTGACCTAGGACATGGAGGACTGCTCAACTACTGCGCCTGAGCTGACCTGGGACATGAAGGACTGCTCAACTACTGCGACTGAGCTGACCTGGGACATGAAGGACTGCTCAACTACTGCGACTGAGCTGACCTGGAACATGGAGGACTGCTCAACTACTGCGACTGAGCGGACCTGGGACATTGAGGACTGCTCAACTACTGCGACTGAGCTGACCTGGGACATGGAGGAGTCCTCTACTACTGTGAGCAATGCTGGGACATGGAGGACTGCTCAACTACCGTGAGGAATGCTGGGACATGGGGGACTGCTCAACAACTGTGAGCAATGTTGGGACATGGAGGACTGCTCAACTACTGTGAGCAATGCTGGGACATGGAGGACTGCTTAACTACTGTGAGTGAGCTGACCTGGGACATGGAGGACTGCTGTACTACTCTGAGTTAGCTGACCTGGGACATGAAGGACTCCCCTACTACTGTGAGCAATGCTACGACATGGAGAACAGCTCAACTACTGTGAGTGAGCTGACCTGGGACATGGAGAACTGCTCAACGACTGTGAGCAATGCTGGGACATGGAGGACTCCTCTACTACTGTGAGCAATGCTACGACATGAAGAACTGCTCAACGACTGTGAGTGAGCAATGCTACGATAGGGAGGACTGCTGAACAACTGTGAGTGGGCTGACCTGGGACATGGAGAACTGCTCAACTACTGTGAGTGAGCTGACCTGGGACATGGAGGACTGCTCAACTACTGTGAGTGAGCTGTCCTGGGACATGGAGGACTCCTCTACTACTGTGAGCAATGCTGGGACATGGAGAACTGCTCAACTACTGTGAGTGAGCTGACCTGGGACATGGAGGACTGCTCAACTAGTGTGAGTGAGCTGACCTGGGACATGGAGGACTGCTCAACAACTGTGAGTGAGCTGACCTGGGACATGGAGGACTCCTCTACTACTGTGAGCAATGCTACGACATGGAGAACTGCTCAACTACTGTGAGTGAGCTGACCTTGGACATGGAGAACTGCTCAACGACTGTGAGTGAGCAATGCTGGGACATGGAGGACTGCTCAACGACTGTGAGTGAGCAATGCTGGGACATGGAGGACTGCTCAACAACTGTGAGTGAGCTGACCTGGGGCTTGGAGGACTGCTGAACTACAGTGAGTGAGAAATGCCGGGACATGGAGAACTGCCCAATAACTGTGAGCAATGCTGGGACATGGAGGACTGCTCAACAACTGTGAGTGAGCTGACCTGGGGCTTGGAGGACTGCTGAACTACAGTGAGTGAGAAATGCCGGGACATGGAGAACTGCCCAACAACTGTGAGCAATGCCGGGACATGGGGGACTGCTCAACAACTGTGAGCAATGCTTGGACATGGAGGACTGCTCAACTACTGTGAGCAATGCTTGGATATGGAGGACTGCTCAACAACTGTGAGCAATGCTGGGACATTGGGGACTGCTCAACAACTGTGAGCAATGCTGGGACATGGAGGACTGTTCAACTACTGCGCCTGAGGTGACCTGGGACATGGAGGACTGCTCAACTACCGTGAGTGAGCGAGTGAACGTTGCTGAGCCTCAGTCAGCAATAATCAAGCTACATCAAAGCGGCATGTAAAAATGTCTAAGTCTGGACCAGATAAACCAGTGACTGGAACATGAGTAAAACTTCCTGCATGTTTACCTCTCAAAGATGCTGTTGTAGTACTGGCTGCCCCGGTAGATGTCGGCATTCAAGTGGTTTGTCAGCTCGATCAGGCTCTGCAGGCTGTCCTCCTCACGCTTCACAAACAACAAATAGACAGATGTATGGACAGAGTAGGAAAATCCAGAACATTAGCCCACATTGACTTGTTTGGACTCTTTTTATGTAACAGGGATACAAGCCCATTTCTGGTGTCCCTCGCCGTGATATTGTTGGAATATTGCAAAAAGTGGCGTAAAACAATACTCACTCACTTTTCATGTGACTGGGTTACAATAAGACAACCCTATGATTTTAACATGAACTAGTGGAAAGGTTTCAACCCAATTTGAACATAAAATACCACAATGATACATGCAGAAATGACTGAGCAATAGGCAAAAATGATTTTTGTCGACATGGCACCAATGAATCTGAAGGACTTTCAATGGCTAACAAGAGTGGTGAGTCTACTGTCCTACCTTGGTCTGGGATCTGCAGCTACTGTACAGCCTCTCGTACCAGTCCTGGTTCCCACGCTGACAATAAAAAAAAAGGGTTCACAGATAAGTCACAAAGTCACACTTCACTTTCAACTTCACGCTTACCTTAAAAAAATATATCCAAGGATAAGAATTCATATAAACAAGTATTATCCAATCCTGGTGGAAAAAAGCTTGTCATAACCAACATGTATATCTGTAGATGGCCAAACCAAACTTCTTCCCCGTGATATCAATGGCTCTACTAACATTTACCCGATCAAGTACAGTCAAGTGTTTGAAGCACTCAAGGTTGCAGTGGATGTGATTCCTGGTGTGAGACAACGTTGTGCACATTATCCCTCCTGCTTTCCTGGTGGTGCAAGACAAGGTCGTTCAAAATCTCCCCCTGTGTTCCTGGTAATGTGAGACATGGTGGTGCACAATCTCCCCTGTGTTTCTGGTAGTGTGAGACAAGGTGGTGCACAATCTCCCCTGTGTTTCTGGTAGTTTGATACAAGGTTGTGCACAATCTCCCCTGTGTTCCTGGTAGTGTGAGACAAGGTGGTGCACAATCTCCCCTGTGTTTCTGGTAGTTTGATACAAGGTGGTGCACAATCTCTCCTGTGTTCCTGGTAGTTTGAGACAAGGTGGTGCACAATCTCCCCTGTGTTTCTGGTAGTTTGATACAAGGTGGTGCACAATCTCTCCTGTGTTCCTGGTAGTTTGAGACAAGGTGGTGCACAATCTCCCCTGTGTTCCTGGTAGTGTGAGACAAGGTGGTGCACAATATCATCTGTGTTCCTGGTAGTGTGAGACAAGGTCGTGCACAATCTCTCCTGTGTTCCTGGTAGTGTGATACAAGGTCGTCCACAATCTCTCCCTGTGTTTCTGGTAGTTTGAGACAAGGTGGTGCACAATCTCCCCTGTGTTTCTGGTAGTTTGATACAAGGTTGTGCACAATCTCTCCTGTGTTCTGGTAGTTTGAGACAAGGTCGTGCACAATCTCCCCCTGTGTTCCTGGTAGTGTGAGACAAGGCTGTGCACAATCTCTCCTGTGTTCCTGGTAGTGTGAGACAAGGTGGTGCACAATCTCCCCTGTGTTCCTGGTAGTTTGAGACAAGGTGGTGTACAATCTCCCCTGTGTTTCTGGTAGTTTGAGACAAGGTGGTGCACAATCTCCCCTGTGTTTCTTGTAGTTTGAGACAAGGTGGTGCACAATCTCGCCTGTGTTCCTGGTAGTGTGAGACAAGGTTGTGCACAATCTCCCCTGTGTTCCTGGTAGTGTGAGACAAGGTCGTGCACAATCTCCCCCTGTGTTCCTGGTAGTGTGAGACAAGGTGGTGCACAATCTCTCCTGTGTTCCTGGTAATTTGAGACAAGGTCGCGCACAATCTCCCCTGTGTTCCTGGTAGTTTGAGACAAGGTGGTGTACAATCTCCCCTGTGTTTCTGGTAGTTTGAGACAAGGTGGTGCACAATCTCCCCTGTGTTCCTGGTAGTGTGAGACAAGGTGGTGCACAATCTCTCCTGTGTTCCTGGTAGTTTGAGACAAGGTCGCGCACAATCTCCCCTGTGTTCCTGGTAGTTTGAGACAAGGTGGTGTACAATCTCCCACGTGTTTCTGGTAGTTTGAGACAAGGTGGTGTACAATCTCCCCTGTGTTTCCGGTAGTTTGAGACAAGGTCGTGCACAATCTCCCCCTGTGTTCCTGGTAGTGTGAGACAAGGCTGTGCACAATCTCTCCTGTGTTCCTGGTAGTGTGAGACAAGGTGGTGCACAATATCCCCTGTGTTTCTGGTAGTTTGAGACAAGGTCGTGCACAATCTCCCACGTGTTTCTGGTAGTTTGAGACAAGGTCATGCACAATCTCCCATGTGTTCCTGGTAGTTTGAGACAAGGTGGTGCACAATCTCCCCTGTGTTTCTGGTAGTTTGAGACAAGGTGGTGCACAATCTCTCCTGTGTTCCTGGTAGTTTGAGACAAGGTGGTGCACAATCTCCCCTGTGTTCCTGGTAGTGTGAGACAAGGTGGTGCACAATATCCCCTGTGTTCCTGGTAGTGTGAGACAAGGTCGTGCACAATCTCCCCTGTGTTCCTGGTAGTTTGAGACAAGGTCGTGCACAATCTCCCCCTGTGTTCCTGGTAGTGTGAGACAAGGCTGTGCACAATCTCTCCTGTGTTCCTGGTAGTGTGAGACAAGGTGGTGCACAATATCCCCTGTGTTTCTGGTAGTTTGAGACAAGGTCGTGCACAATCTCCCCTGTGTTTCTGGTAGTTTGAGACAAGGTCATGCACAATCTCCCCTGTGTTCCTGGTAGTTTGAGACAAGGTGGTGCACAATCTCCCCTGTGTTTCTGGTAGTTTGAGACAAGGTCGTGCACAATCTCCCCCTGTGTTCCTGGTAGTGTGAGACAAGGTGGTGCACAATCTCTCCTGTGTTCCTGGTAGTTTGAGACAAGGTGGTGCACAATCTCCCCTGTGTTCCTGGTAGTGTGAGACAAGGTGGTGCACAATCTCCCCTGTGTTCCTGGTAGTGTGAGACAAGGTGGTGCACAATCTCTCCTGTGTTCCTGGTAGTGTGAGACAAGGTGGTGCACAATCTCCCCTGTGTTTCTGGTAGTTTGATACAAGGTGGTGCACAATCTCTCCTGTGTTCCTGGTAGTTTGAGACAAGATGGTGCACAATCTCCCCCTGTGTTCCTGGTAGTTTGAGACAAGGTGGTGCACAATCTCTCCTGTGTTCCTGGTAGTGTGAGACAAGGTGGTGCACAATCTCTCCCTGTGTTCCTGGTAGTTTGAGACAATTTGGTGCACAATCTCCCCTGTGTTCCTGGTAGTTTGAGACAAGGTGGTGTACAATCTCCCCTGTGTTTCTGGTAGTTTGAGAAAAGGTGGTGCACAATCTCCCCTGTGTTTCTGGTAGTTTGAGACAAGGTGGTGCACAATCTCGCCTGTGTTCCTGGTAGTGTGAGACAAGGTGGTGCACAATCTCCCCTGTGTTCCTGGTAGTGTGAGACAAGGTGGTGCAAAATATCCCCTGTGTTCCTGGTAGTGTGAGACAAGGTCGTGCACAATCTCTCCTGTGTTCCTGGTAGTGTGAGACAAGGTCGTGCACAATCTCTCCCTGTGTTTCTGGTAGTTTGAGACAAGGTGGTGCACAATCTCCCCTGTGTTTCTGGTAGTTTGATACAAGGTTGTGCACAATCTCCCCTGCGTTCCTGGTAGTTTGAGACAAGGTCGTGCACAATCTCTCCAGTGTTCTGGTAGTTTGAGACAAGGTCGTGCACAATCTCCCCTGCGTTCCTGGTAGTTTGAGACAAGGTCGTGCACAATCTCTCCTGTGTTCCTGGTAGTTTGAGACAAGGTGGTGCACAATCTCCCCTGAGTTTCTGGTAGTTTGAGACAAGGTCGTGCACAATCTCTCCAGTGTTCTGGTAGTTTGAGACAAGGTCGTGCACAATCTCCCCTGTGTTCCTGGTAGTTTGAGACAAGGTCGTGCACAATCTCTCCTGTGTTCCTGGTAGTTTGAGACAAGGTGGTGCACAATCTCCCCTGAGTTTCTGGTAGTTTGAGACAAGGTCGTGCACAATCTCCCCCTGTGTTCCTGGTAGTGTGAGACAAGGCTGTGCACAATCTCTCCTGTGTTCCTGGTAGTGTGAGACATGGTGGTGCACAATCTCTCCCTGTGTTCCTGGTAGTTTGAGACAAGGTGGTGCACAATCTCTCCCTGTGTTCCTGGTAGTTTGAGACAAGGTGGTGTACAATCTCCCCTGTGTTTCTGGTAGTTTGAGACAAGGTGGTGTACAATCTCCCTTGTGTTTCTGGTAGTTTGAGACAAGGTGGTGCACAATCTCCCCTGTGTTCCTGGTAGTGTGAGACAAGGTGGTGCACAATCTCCCCTGTGTTCCTGGTAGTTTGAGACAAGGTTGTGCACAATCTCCCCCTGTGTTCCTGGTAGTGTGAGACAAGGCTTTGCACAATCTCTCCTGTGTTCCTGGTAGTGTGAGACAAGGTGGTGCACAATATCCCCTGTGTTCCTGGTAGTTTGAGACAAGGTCGTGCACAATCTCCCCTGTGTTCCTGGTAGTGTGAGACAAGGTCGTGCACAATCTCTCCTGTGTTTCTGGTAGTTTGAGACAAGGTCATGCACAATCTCCCCTGTGTTCCTGGTAGTGTGAGACAAGGTTGTGCACAATCTCTCTTGTGTTTCTGGTAGTTTGAGACAAGGTCTTGCACAATCTCCCAACTCTGTTCCTTGTGGTGTGAGACAAGGTTGTGCACAATCTCCCCCTGTGTTCCTGGTGGTGTGAGACCTTGGTATGCGCAATTTCCCTCTTCCAATTGATCTTTACAACACACTAAAGCTTGTGTAGGGTTGTCTGACCTTTACTACAGACTAATGCTAGTGCAGAGTTATCATGTCTGACCTTTATGAAAGACTAAAATTAGTGCAGGGTCATGATTTCTGACCTTTACAACAGACTAAAGCTAGTGCAGGGTTGTGATGTCTGACCTTTACAACAGACTAAAGCTAGTGCAGGGTCATGATGTCTGACCTTTGCAACAGACTAAACCTTGTGTAGGGTCATGATGTCTGTCTGCCCTTTTCAACAGACTAAGGATCGTGTAGGGTTGTGATGTCTGTCTGACCTTTACGACAGACTAAGGCTTGTGATGGCTGACCTTTACGACAGTCCAAAACTAGTGCAGGGTCTTGATGTCTGTATGACCTTGACAACAGAATAAAGCTTGTGTAGGATTATGATGTCTGACCTTTACAACAGACTAAAGCTTGTGTAGGGTTATGATATCTCTCTGGCCTTTAAGACAGACTAAGGCTTGTGTAGGTTTGTCTGACCTTTACGACAGACTAAAGCTAGTCCAGGGTCATGACGTCTGTCTGACCTTCATGACAGACTAAAGCTTGCAGAGGATGTGATGTATGTCTGACCTTTACGACAGAAAAAGGCTTGTGTAGGGTTGTGATGTCTGACCTTTACGACAGACTAAAGCTTGTGTAGGGTTATGATGTCTGACCTTTACGGCAGACTAAAACTAGTGCAGGGTCTTGATGTCTGTATGACCTTGACAACAGAATAAAGCTTGTGTAGGTTGGGACGTCTGACCTTTATGACAGACTAAAACTAGTGCAGGGTCATGATGTCTGTCTGATCTTTATGACAGACTAAACCTTGTGTAGGGTCATGATTTCTGTCTGGCCTTTACGACAGACTAAGGATCGTGTAGGGTTGTCTGACCTTTACGACAGACTAAAGCTTGTGCAGGGTTGTGATGTCTGTCTGACCTTTACAACAGACTAAGGCGTGTGATGGCTGACCTTTACGACAGACTAAAGCTTGTGTAGGGTTATGATGTCTGACCTTTACAACAGACTAAAGCTTGTATATGGGTTATGAGGTCTGACCTTTACGGCAGACTAAAACTAGTGCAGGGTCTTGATGTCTGTATGACCTTGACAACAGAATAAAGCTTGTGTAGGGTTATGATGTCTGACCTTTATGACAGACTAAGGTTCGTGTAGGGTTGTCTGATCTTTATGACAGACTAAAGCTAGTCCAGGGTCATTACGTCTGTCTGACCTTCATGACAGACTAAAGCTTGCTGAGGATGTGATGTATGTCTGACCTTTACAACAGACTAAAGCTTATGTAGGGTTATGATATCTCTCTGGCCTTTACGACAGACTAAGGCTTGTGTAGGGTTGTCTGACCTTTATGACAGACTAAAGCTAGTCCAGGGTCATGACGTCTGTCTGACCTTCATGACAGACTAAAGCTTGCTGAGGATGTGATGTATGTCTGACCTTTACGACAGACAAAGGCTTGTGTAGGGTTATGATGTCTGACCTTTACGACAGACTAAACCTTGTGTAGGGTCATGATGTCTGACTGACCTTTACGACAGACTAAAGCTAGTCGAGGGTTATGATGTCTGCCTGACCTTTACGACAGATTAAAGGTTGTTTAGGGTTGTGATGTCTGACCTTTATGACAGAGTAAACCTTGTGTAGGGTCATGATGTCTGACTGACCTTTGAGACACACTAAAGCTAATGCAGAGTTATCATGTCCGACCTTTATGAAAGACTAAAATTAGTGCTGGGTCATGATTTCTGACCTTTACAACAGACTAAGCTAGTGCAGGGTTGTGATGTCTGACCTTTACAACAGACTAAAGCTAGTGCAGGGTCATGATGTCTGACCTTTGCAAAAGACTAAAGCTAGTGCAGGGTCATGATGTCTGACCTTTACAACAGACTAAACCTTGTGTAGGGTCATGATGTCTGTCTGGCCTTTACGACAGACTAAGGATCGTGTAGGGTTGTCTGACCTTTACGGCACACCAAAACTAGTGCAGGGTCTTGATGTCTGTATGTCCTTGACAACAGAATAAAGCTTGTGTAGGGTTATGATGTCTGACCTTTACAACAGACTAATGCTTATGTAGGGTTATGATATCTCTCTGGCCTTTACGACAGACTAAGGCTTGTGTAGGGTTGTCTGACCTTTATGACCAGACTAAAGCTAGTCCAGGGTCATGACGTCTGTCTGACCTTCATGACAGACTAAAGCTTGTGTAGGGTTATGATGTCTGACTGACCTTTACGACAGACAAAGGCTTGTGTAGGGTTGTGATGTCTAGCCTTTACGACAGACTAAAGCTTATGTAGGGTTATGATATCTCTCTGGCCTTTACGACAGACTAAGGCTTGTGTTGGGTTGTCTGACCTTTATGACCAGACTAAAGCTAGTCCAGGGTCATGACGTCTGTCTGACCTTCATGACAGACTAAAGCTTGTGTAGGGTTATGATGTCTGACTGACCTTTACGACAGACAAAGGCTTGTGTAGGGTTATGATGTCTGACCTTTACGGGAGACTAAAACTAGTGCAGAGTCTTGATGTCTGTATGACCTTGACAACAGAATAAAGCTTGTGTAGGTTAGGATGTCTGACCTTTATGACAGACTAAAACTAGTGCAGGGTCTTGATGTCTGTATGACCTTGACAACAAAATAAAGCTTGTGTAGGGTTATGATATCTCTCTGGCCTTTACGACAGACTAAGGCTTGTGTAGGGTTGTCTGACCTTTATGACAGACTAAAGCTAGTCCAGGGTCATGACGTCTGTCTGACCTTCATGACAGACTAAAGCTTGCTGAGGATGTGATGTATGACTGACCTTTACGACAGACAAAGGCTTGTGTAGGGTTGTGATGTCTAGCCTTTACGACAGACTTAAACTAATGCAGGGTCATGATGTCTGTCTGACCTTTATGACAGACTAAAGCTAGTATAGCGTTATGATGTCTGACCTTTACGACAGACTAAGGATCGTGAAGGGTTGTCTGACCTCTACAACAGACTAAAGCTAGTCTAGGGTTATGATGTCTGCCTGACCTTTACGACAGATTAAAGCTTGTTTAGGGTTGTGATGTCTGACCTTTATGACAGAGTAAAGCTGTTTAGGGTTGTGATGTCTGACAGACTAAAACTAATGCAGGGTCTTGATGTCTGTATGACCTTGACGACAGACTAAAGCTAGTGCAGGGTTGTGATGTCTGACCTTTATGACAGACTAAGGATTGTGTAAGGTTGTCTGACCTTAACGACAGTCTAAGGATCGTGTAGGGATGTCTGACCTTTACGACAGCTGTGATCTCGGAGTGCAGCTCCTTCTGGAATGGGCAGCACTTCTTGAACACCTTCATGCTGTAGATGTTGGCCAGGCACCTGCAACACAACACCAATCTCCTGTCACTTGGCAGAAAAAGGATATTTATCTCATTTATCTCATTGATTGATAGATAACGTTATCTCACTGAAATAATAACTTCTTTATAAAAAAATTGAACTTCAAACAAAGACAATAGATTATTTGTTTTGACTTTTAAACCAGAAATATTGAAGTATTAAACAGAAAGAGTTAATCATTTAGTTGAGCTATTGATTGAGGTACACTGTGACTATAAGTGTGGCTCTATGTGTGACTATGTGTGACTGTGTGTGAAACTGTTTGGCTAAGTGTGGCTAAGTGTGACTGCATGTGGGACTCTATGTGTGGCAATATGTATGACTATGTGTGGCTGCATGTGTGGCTGTGTGACTATGTGTGTGACTGCATGTGTGACTGTGGCTATGTGTGTCGGTATGTGTGACTATGAGTGTGGCTGTGTGTGTGACGATATGTGTGATGGTATGTGTGGCTGTATGTGTATGTGGCTGTATGTGTGTGTGACTATGTGTATGTGGCTGTGTGTGTGACGGTATGTGTGATGGTATGTGTGGCTGAATGTGTATGTGGCTGTATGTGTGTGAGGCTGTATGTGTATGTGGCTGTATGTGTGTGTGACTATGAGTGCAGCTGTGTGTGTGACGGTATGTGTGGCTGTATGTGTATGTGGCTGTATGTGTGTGTGACTGTATGTGTATGTGGCTGTGTGTGTGACGGTATTTGTGATGGTATGTGTGGCTAAATGTGTATGTGGCTGTATGTGTGTGTGGCTGTATGTGTATGTGGCTGTATGTGTGTGTGACTGTATGTGTATGTGTGTGTGACGGTATGTGTGATGGTATGTGTGGGTGAATGTGTATGTGGCTGTATGTGTGTGTGACTGTATGTGTATGTGTGTGTGACGGTATGTGTGACGGTATGTGTGATGGTATGTGTGGGTGAATGTGTATGTGGCTGTATGTGTGTGTGGCTGTATGTGTGTGTGACTATGTGTATGTGGCTGTGTGTGTGACGGTATGTTTGGCTGTATGTGTGGCTGTATTTGTGTGAGGCTGTATGTGGCTGTGTGTGTGACGGTATGTTTGGCTGTATGTGTGTGTGACCGTATGTGTGATGGTATGTGTGGCTGTATGTGTATGTGGCTGTGTGTGTGACGGTATATGTGACAGTATGTGTGACGGTATGTGTGGCTGTATGTGTGTGTGCCTGTATGTGTGACTGTATGTGTATGTGTGTGTGACCGTATGTGTGATGGTATGTGTCACGTTATGTGTGACTATGAGTGCGGCTGTGTGTGTGACTGTATGTGTATGTGGCTGTATGTGTGACGGTATGTGTGACTATGTGTCTGGCTTTATGTAACTATGTGTGTGGCTGTATGTGTGACTGTATGTGTGACTATGTGTGTAGATGTAGGTGTGTCTGTATGAGTCACAGTGTGTAACTATGTGCGGCTGTATGTGTGACTGTATGTGTGACTGCAATAGTGTGTGACTGTATGGGTGACTGTATGTGTGACTGTGTATGGCTGTGTGTGTGACTGTATGACTATGTGTGTGGCTGTATGTGTGACTATGGGTGTGGCGTATGTGTGACTGACTGTGTGTGGCTGTATGTGTGACTGTGTGGCTGTATGTGTGACTGTGTGTGTGGCTGTATGTGTGACTGTGTGGCTGTATGTGTGACTGACTGTGTGAGACTGACTGTGTGTGGCTGTATGTGTGACTATGGGTGTGGCGTATGTGTGACTGAATGTGTGTGGCTGTATGTGTGACTGTGACTGTGTGACTATGTGTGTGGCTGTGTGTGTGGCTGTATGTGTGACTATGGGTGTGGCGTATGTGTGACTGACTGTGTGTGGCTGTATGTGTGACTGTGTGGCTGTATGTGTGACTGTGTGTGTGGTTGTATGTGTGACTGTGACTGTGTGACTGTGTGTGACTGACTGTGTGTGGCTGTATGTGTGACTATGGGTGTGACGTATGTGTGACTGAATGTGTGTGGCTGTATGTGTGACTGTGACTGTGTGACTATGTGTGTGGCTGTGTGTGTGGCTGTATGTGTGACTATGGGTGTGGCGTATGTGTGACTGACTGTGTGTGGCTGTATGTGTGACTGTGTGGCTGTATGTGTGACTGTGTGTGTGGCTGTATGTGTGACTGTGACTGTGTGACTGTGTGTGACTGACTGTGTGTGGCTGTATGTGTGACTGTGACTGTGTGACTATGTGTGTGGCTGTGTGTGTGGCTGTATGTGTGACTATGGGTGTGGCGTATATGTGACTGACTGTGTGTGGCTGTATGTGTGACTGTGACTGTGTGACTATGTGTGTGGCTGTATGTGTGACTATGGGTGTGGCGTATATGTGACTGACTGTGTGTGGCTGTATGTGTGACTGTGACTGTGTGACTATGTGTGTGGCTGTATGTGTGACTATGGGTGTGGCGTATGTGTGACTGACTGTGTGTGGCTGTATGTGTGACTGTTACTGTGTGGCTGTATGTGTGACTATAGGTGTGGCTGACTGTGACTGTGGCTGTGTTACTGTATATGTGACTGTGTGTGAGTATATGTGACTGTGTGACCATATGTGTGACTGTGTGTGAGTATGTGTGAATGTATGGATGAGTGCATGTGTGACTGTGACTGTGTGAGTTTGTGACTGTATGTGCGACTATATGTGTGGGTATGTGTGACTGTATGTGTGTGTGGATGTGTGACTATGTGTGACTGAGTATGTTACTGTGACTGTATGTGTGACTTAGTGTGACTAAGTGTGAGTATGGGTGACAGTTTGCGTGACTATATGTGTGACTGTGTCATAAAAACAATGCTTCTCCCATGAATTCTGCTGTTTCATTACAGTAGATGTTTCCCTGGCAACTACAGAGAGCATGAGAAGAACCTCATGGAACTTGCCTGCTTACTGCAGACACCTGCCTCTCTTCACATTGATCCTTGCTAGAACTTTCTACACAAATAGACCATGTACTCAAGACAGGAATAGATTCACAAACCCATATATACAAATCAATTATGAGTTGGATAAATAATACAGTAGCGTAAGAAAATGAATGTCAGAATAACTGCTGCTGCCTTGCCTCCCCTCGGCAGACTTGTGATTGTGAGGTCACAGCTCTGCTCGAAGCCTGATCTGACTGAAACACGTAATGAAATACGTCGGCGAGATTATCCAACAATCTAATTGCTGCTATCACTGAAGCCTTGCATCTCACCATTCAGTGCAGATAATGAAGCCTTGAGCAGACACTTGAGCATTCACTCAAGATTTGTCTTCACTGAAATAACATAGCCACAAGGGTAGGTGGGCAATATGGTCCACTTGTTTGCAAATTTTCACAAAGGTAAAAAAGTGAATGCTTCATTAGCTTTGAAGCAAAATCAATAGAGCCCAATTTGCCCTGTGTGTTTAGTGTATGTTAGTGCATAGTACATTAATTATCTAGCTGGTTGGCCCGCGGCCAGTCAGCAGAGGAAGTATTTGTTTCGTGCAGATCAAAGGCCAGGCTAAAGTTTGTGTGTAGTGTTGCATGGTGGGAGATATGCCACCTGGTGGCAGAATGGAGAGGTACAGTGCAACTTCATGATACATTTGATACATATAGAGTCTCGTAACAGCTGTCATTAAATTAACTTTCTGTTCGGGTGTATCTGATATATAAGAAGTCACTAGCGCAGATGAACTGACCCCGAGGGTTACAGGCAGGTGGCAAGGCTCCATATTTATATGCTTTAAATGTCCAATTCCCTTGAGTCTTTGGTTACCTGTTAGGTGGTAACTAATAAACAACTCGGGTACTTATTGTATGAAACATTTAGTGCAAACTCTGTACCTCAACATGATTGTCTGACTACTTGTGTTGGATGAAATGCTAGTCCGTGGCTGGCTGCTTGGGTGAAAGACTCCCCAAGCAGAGGTTGCCTACTCAAATATCCATCTTTGTCGTCCCTCTTGTACATAAGGGTAACGCTAAATATAAAGTCTGGAGGCGAGACCGACATGCAATCTTGGGTACAGAACACCCCTGTCCCCTAAACTATTGAAACCACAACTAGACCAGGTGTAGTCTCTGGGCAGGCTAAGGGTGGCTGGTCCACAAGGGTCAAGACCGAGCTTCTCTGCGTTTTTTACTGGTTAGGAGATCTCCTTGATATCTATCACCCATACACATGACATTGTACACAACTCAGGGATTGAATGGACACTACTCATGGATTGATTGCAACTATTCAGGGATTGAATGGACAGCATTAAGGGATTGATTGCACACTATTCAGGGACTGATTGCACACTATTCAGGGATTGATTGCACACTATTCAGGGATTGAATGGACAGAATAAAGGGATTGATTGCACACTATTCAGGGATTTAATGGACAGAATAAAGGGATTGATTGCACACTATTCAGGGATTGAATGGACACTACTCATGGATTGATTGCAACTATTCAGGGATTGAATGGACAGCATTAAGGGATTGATTGCACACTATTCAGGGACTGATTGCACACTATTCAGGGATTGATTGCACACTATTCAGGGATTGAATGGACAGAATAAAGGGATTGATTGCACACTATTCAGGGATTGAATGGACAGAATAAAGGGATTGATTGCACACTATTCAGGGATTGAATGGACACTACTCAGGGATTGATTGCAATTATTCAGGGATTGAATGGCCAGCATTAAGGGATTGATTGTGCATTACTCAGGGATTGATTGCACACTATTCAGGGATTGAATGGACATCATTGAGGGATTGATTGCACATTATTCAGGGATTGATTGCAGACTACTCAGGGATTTATTGCACACAATTCAGAGATTGATTGCACACTATTCAGGGATTGAATGGACACTATTCAGGGATCGAATGGACACTATTCAGGGATCGAATGGACACTATTCAGGGATTGATTGCACACTATTCAGGGATTGAATGGACACTATTCAGGGATTGATTGCACACTATTCAGGGATTGATTGCACACTATTCAGGGATTGAATGGACACTATTCAGGGATTGATAGGACACTATTCAGGGATTGATTGCATACTATTCAGGGATGGAATGGACACTATTCAGGGATCGATTTGACACTATTAAGGGATTGATTGAACACTATTCAGGGATTGAATGGACACTATCCAGGGATTGAATGGACAGCATTAAGCATTGATTGGACACTACTCAGGGATTGAATGGACACTATTCAGGGATCGATTGGACACTATTCAGGGATTGATTGCATACTATTCAGGGATTGATTGCACACTATTCAGGGATTGATAGGACACTATTCAGGGATTGATTGCATACTATTCAGGGATGGAATGGACACTATTCAGGGATCGATTTGACACTATTAAGGGATTGATTGAACACTATCCAGGGATTGAATGGACAGCATTAAGCATTGATTGGACACTACTCAGGGATTGAATGGACACTATTCAGGGATTGATTGGACACTATTCAGGGATTGATTGCATACTATTCAGGGATTGATTGCACACTATTCAGGGATTGAATGGACAGCAAAAAGGATTGATTTGACACTACACAGGGATTGATTGTACACTTTTCAGGGATTGAATGGACACTATTCAGGGATTGATTGCATACTATTCAGGGATTGATTGTGTGCTATTTAGGGATTGAATGGGCGCTATTCAGGGATTGATTGCAAACTATTCAGGGATTGATTGCACACTAGTCAGGGCTTGATTGAACACTTTTCAGGGATTGATTGGACACGTTAAAAGGGATTGATTGCAAACTATTCAGGGATTGAAGGGACACTACTCAGGGATTGATTGGACACTATTCAGGGATTGATTGGACACTACTCAGGGATTGATTGCACACTATTCAGGGATTGAAAGGACACAACTCAGGAATTGATTGGACACTACTCAGGTATTGATTGCACACTACTCAGGGATTGATTGCACACTATTCAGGGATTGATTGCACACTGCTCAGGGATTGATTGCACACTATTCAGGGATTGAATGGACACTATCCAGGGATTGAATGGACAGCATTAAGCATTGATTGGACACTACTCAGGGATTGAATGGACACTATTCAGGGATTCATTGGACACTATTCAGGGATTGATTGCATACTATTCAGGGATTGATTGCACACTATTCAGGGATTGAATGGACAGCAAAAAAGATTGATTTGACACTACACAGGGATTGATTGAACACCATTCAGGGATTGAATGGACACTATTCAGGGATTGATTGCATACTATTCAGGGATTGATTTTGTGCTATTTAGGGATTGAATGGACGCTATTCAGGGATTGATTGCACACTATTCAGGGATTGATTGCACACTAGTCAGGGCTTGATTGAACACTATTCAGGGATTGATTGCATACTATTGAGGGATTGAATCGACACTTCTCAGGGATTGATTGCATACTACTCAGGTATTGATTGCACACTACTCAGGGATTGATTGCAAACTATTCAGGGATTGAATGGACACTACTCAGGGATTGATTGGACACTATTCAGGGATTGATTGGACACTACTCAGGGATTGATTGGACACTATTCAGGGATTGAAAGGACACAATTCAGGGATTGATTGGACACTTTTCAGGGATTGATTGCATACTATTCAAGGATTGAATGGGCACTACTCAGGGATTGATTGCACACTACTCAGGTATTGATTGCACACTACTCAGGGATTGATTGCATACTATTCAGGTATTGAATGGACAATATTCAGGGATTGATTGATCACTATTCAGGGATAGAATGGACACTTCTCAGCGATTGATTGCACACTATTCAGGGCTTGAATGGACACTATTCAGGGATTGATTGCACACTACTCAGGGATTGATTGGACACTATAGTATAAAGTAAATTTAATGGGACACTAGTCAGGAACTGATTGCACACTATAAAGGATTTTATTTGACACTACACAGGAAATGATTGCACACCATTCAGGGATTGATTGGAAACTATTCAGGGATTGATTGGACACCATTCAGGGATTGATTTGACACCATTCAGGGATTGATTGCATACTATTCAGGGATTGAATAGACAGCAAAATGGACTAATTTGACACTACACAGGGATTGATTGCACACTATTCTGGGATTGAATGGACACTATTCAGGGATTGAGTGGACACTATTCAGGGATTGATTGAACACTATTCAGGGATTGATTGGCCACGTTAAAAGGGATTGATTGCACACTATTCAGGGATTGAATGGACACTACTCAGGGATTGATTGGAACTATTCAGGGGTTGAATGGACAGCATTAATGGATTGATTGCACACTATTCAGGGACTAATTGCACACTATTCAGGGATTGATTGCACACTATTCAGGGATTGAATGGACAGAATAAAGGGATTGATTGCACACTATTCAGGGATTGAATGGACACTATTCAGGGATTGATTGCATACTATTCAGGGATTGATTGTACACTATTCAGGGATTGAATAGACAGGAAAAAGGATTCATTTGACACTACACAGGGATTGATTGCACACTATTCAAGGATTGAATGGACACTATTCAGGGATTGATTGCATACTATTCAGGGATTGATTGTGCGCTATTTAGGGATTGAATGGACGCTATTCAGGGATTGATTGGACACTATTCAGGGATTGATTGCACACTATTCAGGGATTGATTGGACACTATTCAGGGATTGATTGGACACTATTCAGGGATTGATTGGACCCGTTAAAAGGGATTGATTCCATACTATTCAGGGATTGAATGGACACTACTCAGGGATTGATTGGACACTATTCAGGGATTGATTGGACACTACTGAGGGATTGGTTGCACACTACTCAGGGATTGATTGTACACTATTCAGGGATTGATTGGACACTATTCAGGGATTTATTGCACACTATTCAGGGATCGAATGGACACTATTCAGGGACTTATTGCACACTACTGAGGGATTGAATGGACACTATTCAGGGATTGATTGCACACTACTGAGGGATTGAATGGACACTATTCAGGGATTGATTGCACACTATTGAGGGATAGAATGGACACTACTCAGGGATTGATTGAACACTATTCAGGGATTGAATGCACACTATTCAGGGATTGATTGTACACTTCAGGGATTGATTGTACACTATTCATTAATATGGAATAGCTCAACTTAACATTACCTCTGACCAGGAGAAGGCCATTCAGCCTATCTAGCATTTGACAAGATAGTGATATGGAATAGCTCACCTAAACATGCCCTCCAGCCTCGAGAAGGCTGTCCTGTTTGATGGTGGGAAGGTCTCCCGTTGTCGGTGAAGTAGAGTCAAGCAGTATTCTATGAACAGGTTGAATGACTCAGCAAGGCTCTCCTCCTGGGAACGAAATCATCAGTTATTCAACACAAGTGTTATGCTATTCATCAGTCAATAATTTTTTATCTTGAAGTTTACATAATATATGGCTTTTCAAATGGACGAGAAGTGGGTCACATGACCATGAACACGACGCTTGATGTTCAAACATTTTTCACAAGACCGTGTTCTTGAAATGACGTAAACACTGCCTGACTATTTCCACATCCCTGGGAATTCCCCAGCACAATTACATGCAGAAGTGTTCTTTCTGATCATTTAGACCTTTTAATCTTGAACTCAGCTTTTTAGGATGCATTGAGAAATTTCAGAGGGTTTGACGAATATCCTTGCTATGAACCATCCTAGTGAACAAAACAAAGAAATGCACATTCAAACTATCATAGTATTGACTCGATGCATGTCTATGTTGACAGTGACAGTCTACAGCAATCTATGAATTTACCTTAGTGTCTATTTGACACATCTTTAATCACCTTTCAATGATCGGCCAGATGATCAATGATGACTAAAACATGTAACCACCACAGGTTCAAAAACCAACTTCCGCAAGCTCCGATGTTCAAACAATTTGGCTACTTATCAGTCATTCAACATAAGCTTTATGCTAGTCATCAGTCATTAAACAAAAGTACTATGCTATTCATCGGTCATTCAACATAAGTGTTATGGTACTCATCAGTCATTCAACACAAGTGCTATGCTTCTCATCAGTCATTCAACACAAGTGTTATGCTACTCATCAGTCATTCAACATAAGTGGTATGCTATTGATCTGTCATTCAACACAAGTGGTATACTACTCGTCAGTCATTCAACACAAGTGCTATGCTACTCATCAGTCATTCAACGCAAGTGTTATGCTACTCATCAGTCATTCAACACAAGTGGTATGTTATTGATCTGTCATTCAACACAAGTGGTATACTACTCGTCAGTCATTCAACACAAGTGCTATGCTACTCATCAGTCATTCAACGCAAGTGTTATGCTACTCATCAGTCATTAAACACAAGTGGTATGCTATTGATCTGTCATTCAAAACAAGTGGTATGCTACTCGTCAGTCATTCAACACAAGTCCTATGCTACTCATCAGTCATTCAACGCAAGTCCTATGCTACTCATCAGTCATTCAACATAAGTGGTATGCTACTCATCAGTCATTCAACACCAGTGTTATGCTACTCATCAATCATTCAACATAAGTGGTATGCTACTCATCAGTCATTCAACATAAGTGTTATGCTACTCATCAGTCATTCAACATAAGTGGTATGCTACTCATCAATCATTCAACACAAGTGTTATGCTACTCATCAATCATTCAACATAAGTGCCAGGCTACTCATCAGCCATTCAACATAAGTGTTATGCTACTCATCAGTCATTTAACACAAGTGTTATGCTATTCATCTGTCATTCAACACGTATGTTATGCTACTCATCAGTCATTCAACACAAGAGTTATGCTATTCATCTGTTATTCTACATAAGTGTTATGCTACTCATCAGTCATTAAACACAAGTGGTATGCTATTCATCTGTGATTCAACACAAGTGTTATGTTATTCATCTGTGATTCAACACAAGTGTTATGCTATTCATCTGTGATTCAACACAAGTGTTATGCTATTCATCAGTCATTCAGCACAAGTGTCATGCTATTCATCAGTCATTCAACATAAGTGCCAGGCTACTCATCAGTCATTCCACACAAGTACTATGCTATTCATCGGTCATTCAACACAAGTGTTATGCTACTCGTCAATCATTCAACACAAGTGTCATGCTATTCATCAGTCATTCAACACATGGGTTATGCTATTCATCAGTAATTCAACACAAGTGTTATGCTACTCATCAATCATTCAACGCAAGTGTTATGCTACTCGTCAGTTATTCAACACAAGTGGTATGCTATTGATCTGTCATTCAACACAAGTGTTATGCTACTCATCAATCATTCAACATAAGTGGTATGCTACATGTCAGTCATTGAACACAAGTGTTATGCTATTCATCTGTCATTCAACACAAGTGTTATGCTATTTATCAGTCATTCAGCACAAGTGTCATGCTATTCATCGGTCATTCAACACAAGTGTTATGCTATTCATCTGTCATTCAACAAAAGTGTTATGCTATTCATCAGTCATTCAAGTGTTATGCTACTCATCAGTCATTCAACACAAGTGTTATGCTACTCATCAATCATTCAACATAAGTGTTATGCTACCCATCAGTCATTCAACATAAGTGTTATGCTACCCATCAGTCATTCAAGATAAGTGTAGACATCCGTCATATGGCTGGAATATTGCTGAGTGCAGCGTTAAACAACAAATAAACAAACAAAACTATGCTATTTTTGTTATTCCAATTACTATAAATGATCAAACCAAGTTTTGAAGGATTTTGAGGTGAGAACTTCCATGATTAAATGCATTTTTCTTGACAAAAACATCTTCATGACACCTTTGCTTCAATGTGAAGCCAAATAGGTGAAATTACAGAAAATCATGTGAACAGTAAAGTACATTGTGAAACACAACATTAGAATGTAAACATGTTTTGATTCACCTTACACAACACTTGTATTTCAATACAGTGGTATACAGTGGACAATATTTATGTGGAACGAAATATATACTACACAAAATGCTTCATTTATCCAGAAATTAAACAATAGTTATCATTGTGTATAAATCTAAGAATACCACCTCTACTACATTCATAGCCATAAATTCTGTGCTGGCTGTTTTCACACCATAAAATCTTTAGATTTTCAACAGATATCCTCTTCACTGTCAGTTATCTGATGTGCTGTTAGTCAAATCTGAGGTAAGATATGCAGAATTATTCGGTTTCCGGATGTGGACAGTGAATTACCAACAAATACACACTGTTGTGTCCCACATCACCGACAATGATCATGCTTATCATTCCTGATATCAGAAGAGTTTGGTTAGGGTTAGAGTTAGGGTTAGGGTTAACCCTAACCCTAACCCTAACCCTAATCCTAACCCGACAATGTTCATGCTTATTATTCCTGGTATCAGAATAGTTTCAGATACAATTTCTGCCATTCATTGATATGTTTCAGCTGAATCAGCGGTAAATGTGGAGAAACTGTGTATACAGCTGATTGCTATGTCTGGCTTAGTTTAGGATAAAATACACATGGTTATCTTAATCTCTGCACATTAAACAATGCCAAGCAAAACAGGAAAGTTATACAGGCTCAGAGTTACCCTGAAATTTATACAATTTAAATCATCATGTTTAGTGATGCTTTATCACAAATACCACATTTTATTGACCAAGTTTGTAATCTTCTGTTCATTCTCTGGTAGTTGTGTTGAAATGATTGATAGAAATGTTGATCACGCTCTTCTCATCCCTGGAGCGACTGGCAGGAGAGAGCGGTGGGATCTCACCTCATCCCTGGAGAGAGCGGTGGGATCTCACCTCATCCCTGGAGAGAGTGGCAGGAAGTCATCTCATCCTTAGAGATATTGGCAGGAGAGAGTGGTAAAACTCACCTCATCTCTGGACAGAGTGGCAGGAACTCATCTCATCCTTAGAGATATTGGCAGGAGAGAGTGGTAAAACTCACCTCAACCCTGGAGAGAGTGGAAGGAACTCACCTCATCTCTGGAGAGTGGCAGGAGAGAGCGTCATGAACTGACCCCATCCCTGGAGAGAGTATCAGGAACTCACCACATCTCTGGAAAGTGGCAGGAGAGAGTGTCATGAACTGACCCCATCCCTGGAGAGAGTATCAGGAACTCACCTCATTTCTGGAAAGTGTGGCAGGAACTGACCTCATCCCTGGAGAGAGCGGCAGGAGAAAGTCTTTAACCTCATCTCATCCCTGGAGAGAGTATCAGGAACTCACCTCATCTCTGGAGAGTGGAAGGAGAGAGCGGCAGGAACTTACCTCATCCCTGGAGAGAGAGGCAGGAATTCACCTCATCCCTGGAGAGAGTGGAAAAACTCACCTCATCCCTGGAGAGAGTGGTAAAATTCACCTCATCCCTGGAGAGAGGCAGGAAAGAGTATCAGGAACTCACCTCATCCCTGGAGAGAGTGGCAGGAACTCACCTCATCTCTGGAGAAAGTGGCAGGAACTCACCTCGTCCCTGGAGAAAGTGGTAAAATTCACCTCATCCCTGGTGAGAGGCAGGAAAGAGTGGCAGGAACTCACCTCATCTCTGGAGAAAGTGGCAGGAACTCACCTCATCCCTGGAGATAGTGGCAGGAGAGGGTGGTAAAACTCACCTTATCCCTGGAGAGAGCGACAGGAACTCACCTCATCTCTGGAGAGAGCGGCAGGAACTCACCTCATCCCTGGAGAGGGTGGCAGGAACTCACCTCATCCCTGGAGAGAGTGGCAGGCTTCCACACCTTGTCCAGGTTGGTCAGATGAGCCAGAAGCAGGCTGTAGGAAAGCGGGTACTTGGCATGCTGCCGGCTGTGGGCCATCCACCGACTAGGGCAACAAAATAAACAATTACTTCACAGACTAGTCATATCCTCATCCACACCTTCATCAAAAGCCCTGTCCACAACCTCGTCAACACCCTCATTCTCGCCTTCATCCTCACCTTGGTTCTCGCCCTCATCAACACCCTTGCCCTCATCCTTGCCCTTGTCCATACCGTCATCAATGCCTTTGCCCTCATCAATACCCTCGCCCTCATACACACCCTCATCAACGCCCTTGCCCTTATCCACATCCTTATCCATACCCTCATCAACGCCCTTGCCCTTGCCCTCATACACACCCTCATCAATGCCCTCACCCTCATACACACCCTCATCAACGCCCTTGCCCTCATACACAACCTCATCAATGCCCTCACCCTCATACACAACCTCATCAACGCCCTCGACCCTCATACACACCCTCGCCCTCATACACAACTTCATCAACGCCCTCGCCCTCATACACACCCTTATCAACACCCTCGCCCTCATACGCACCCTCATCAACGCCCTCGCCCTCATACACACCCTCATCAACGCCTTTGCCCTCATCAATGCCCTCGCCCTCATACACACCCTCATCAACGCCTTTGCCCTCATCAATGCCCTCGCCCTCATACACACCCTCAACAACGCCCTCGCCCTTATCCATACCCTCATCAACGCCCTTGCCTTCGCCCTCATACACACCCTCATCAACGCCCTCACCCTCATACAGACCCTCATCAACACCATCGCCCTCATACACACCCTCATCAACGCCCTCGACCCTCATACAGACCCTCATCAACGCCCTTGCCCTCGCCCTCATACACACCCTCATCAACGCCCTTGCCCTCACCCTCATACACACCCTCATCCATACCCTCATCAACGCCCTTGCCCTCGCCCTCATACACACCCTCATCCATACCCTCATCAACACCCTCGCCCTCATACACACCCTCATTAACGCCCTCGCCCTCATCCATACCCTCATCAACACCCTCGCCCTCATACACACCCTCATCAACGCCCTCACCCTCATACAGACCCTCATCAACACCCTCATCAACGCCCTTGCCCTCATACACACCCTCATCAACGCCCTTGCCCTCACCCTCATACACACCCTCATCCACGCCCTTGCCCTCACCCTCATACACACCCTCATCCATACCCTCATCAACGCCCTTGCCCTCATACACACCCTCGCCCTCATACACACCCTCGCCCTCATACACACCCTCATTAACGCCCTCGCCCTCATACACACCCTCTTCAACACCCTCGCCCTCATACACACCCTCATCAACGCCCTCGCCCTCACCCTCATACACACCCTCATCAACGCCCTTGCCCTCGCCCTCATACACACTCATCAACGCCCTTGCCCTCACCCTCATACACACCCTCATCAACACCCTCATCAACGCCCTTGCCCTCGCCCTCATACACACCCTCATCCATACCCTCATCAACGCCCTTGCCCTCATACACACCCTCGCCCTCATACACACCCTCATTAAAGCTCTCGCCCTCATACACACCCTCATACACACCCTTATCAACACCCTCGCCCTCATCAACGCCCTCACCCTCATACAGACCCTCATCAACACCCTCATCAACGCCCTTGCCCTCGCCCTCATACACACCCTCATCCATACCCTCATCAACGCCCTTGCCCTCATACACACCCTCGCCCTTATCAACACCCTCGCCCTCATACACACCCTCATTAACGCCCTCGCCCTCATCCATACCCTCATCAACACCCTCGCCCTCATACACACCCTCTTCAACACCCTCGCCCTCATACACACCCTCATCAACGCCCTCGCCCTCATACACACCCTAATCCATACCCTCATCAACGTCCTTGCCCTTATACCTACCCTCATCAACACCCTCGCCCTCATACACACCCTCATCAATGCCCTCACCCTCATACACACCCTCATCAACGCCCTCACCCTCATACACACCCTCATCAACGCCCTCACCCTCAACACACCCCCATCAATGCCCTCACCCTCATCAACCCCTTGTCCATACCCTCATCAACACCCTCACCCTCATCCACACCCTTGTCCATACCCTCATCAGTGCCCTCGCCCTCATCCACACCCTCGTCATCCACACCCTTGTCCACACCCTTGCCCTCGCCCTCATCCACACCCTTGTTCTCACAGGGGACACTCACCAGACAGCCTGCTGCACCTCCGTGACGTCCCCCTGTATGGCATGCTGGTGGAGGATGGTGAGGGCAGCCTGGGGCAGGTCCCCAGTCCACTTGAAGGAAGGGTCCTGGAACACGTACCAAAACAAATTGGGAACCGGATCACCTCTGCAGTTTGGAGTGTAATGTATAAATCTGTATCCATAACTGACTCCCTCCTAGTGGTTACAAATGATCAGTATAATGTCTGTAATGAAACGTCCTCCTGATTCCTTCATCATCTGTGACAACTTCCGCTGGACTATTGTTCCAAGATGCAGTGTTGGGAATCAAGCCTCCAAGACAAGGGTCCTTGTCATAATGGAAAATAGAGCCTTGGGTGGGGTAGCTCACCTAAAGTTTTCTGGATATGATATTAAATCAAGAACGTCATACAAGGGTAAAGAAGAAGTAAAAGAAATAACAAAAGGTTGGTTGGTTGGGTGGTTGTTTTTTTTGTTTAACGCCGCACTAAGCAATATTCCAGCTATATGACAGCGGTCTGTAAATAATTGAGTCTGGACCAGACAATCCACTGATTAATATCATAAGCATCAATCCACGCAATTGGGATCCATGACATGCATCAACCAAGTCAGTGAGCCTGACCACCCGATCCCGTTAGTTGCCTCTTACGATAAGCATAGTCGCCTTTTACGGCAAGCATGGATTGAGGAAGACCTATTCTTCTCCGAGTCTTCACAAAAGAACTGAGAGAAAATGGCCCCCATGTTTTTAAAGTCAGATCACAATTCTGTTATTATACAAGCAGTCATGGGCCAACATGACAATTTCAATATGGCTACCATGCTTATAATCAGATTCAAATTATATGAGCAATATTTTAACAACATCACTTGGGCAATACTGGGTAGTCATTATACTTGTTCACGATCCGATATGTATCACTATACTTGTATGTGCTCTTATCTGTGGTGTGTAAGTCATGTTTTTCATTGACAGGATAGTCAAATATTTACAGTTTACGATTTACAGTTAGCAGCGTCAAGTATGAAGCAATGGATGAACATATTTTTCAATACTAATTTTCCCTACAAATTAGTGTTCGGTGTAACAGCCATTAAAGTAAACATTTAAGGAATGAAGTGATACTTTTTTACTTAGTCTGTGGCTGTGATCGATACTTATATCGGGAAGAAAAATATAGCGATCCACTGATGCATTGGTGTATTGTCCCACCACTAGCGGTGTCATGCTTTCCTTTTCTTCCAACTATTTATGCCAATCAAAGACTTTATATTTGCAAGTTTCTGCTTCATTAGCCTTGTAGAGATGCCAATACTGTAACAGTCACCAAAGGCATGCCAACTTGAAGATGGGACAACATGCCACCAAATAATCTCAAAGAGCTAAAACTAAAAGGTGAAAAAGACTTTAAGTTCTTACATAGGATATTGTAAAATCAAAATATTTCTTAACACTTACATTAAATTTTCTGACTTCATGTTCAATAAATATACACATAAGATCTTCATGCTGTTTGACGTCTGTCCAGTTGTCATCTTCAGGGATGCCTCGATCTTCCCTCGTGGCTAACTTAAGCTTGAGGTGGATCTCCCCCTGGATGTTTGACCTGGAGGACCTGCCCTGCAGCTGATACCACTGGTCCAGCCCCACAGACGGGATGTTCTGTAACACACACACGCAGAGCTACAACATGACACACACACACACAGAGCTACAACATGACACACACACACACAGAGCTACAACATGACACACACACACAGAGCTACAACATGACACACACACACAGCTGATACCACTGGTCCAGCCCCACAGACGGGATGTTCTGTGACACACACACACAGAGAGCTACAACATGACACACACACACACAGAGCTACAACATGACACACACACACACAGAGCTACAACATGACACACACACAGAGCTACAACATGACACACACACACAGCTGATACCACTGGTCCAGGCCCACAGACGGGATGTTCTGTAACACACACACACAGAGAGCTACAACATGACACACACACACACAGAGCTACAACATGACACACACACACCCAGAGCTACAACATGACACAGACGCACACAGCTGATACCACTGGTCCAGGCCCACAGACGGGATGTTCTGTAACACACACACACAGAGAGCTACAACATGACACACACACACAGCTGATACCACTGGTCCAGCCCCACAGATGGGATGTTCTGTAACACACACACACACAGAGCTACAACATGACACACACACACAGAGCTACAACATGACACACACACACACAGAGCTACAACATGACACACACACAGAGCTACAACATGACACACACACACAGAGCTACAACATGACACACACACACACACACAGCTGATACCACTGGTCCAGCCCCACAGACGGGATGTTCTGTAACACACACACACACAGAGAGCTACAACATGACACACACACACACACACACACAGCTGATACCACTGGTCCAGCCCCACAGACGGGATGTTCTGTAACACACACACACACAGAGCTACAACATGACACACACACACAGAGCTACAACATGACACACACACAGAGCTACAACATGACACACACACACACAGAGCTACAACATGACACACACACACAGAGCTACAACATGACACACACACACAGCTGAGACCACTGGTCCAGCCCCACAGACGGGATGTTCTGTAACACACACACACACAGAGCTACAACATGACACACACACACAGCTGATACCACTGGTCCAGCCCCACAGACGGGATGTTCTGTAACACACATACACAGAGCTACAACATGACATACACACACCCAGAGCTACAACATGATACAGACACAGCTGATACCACTGGTCCAGGCCCACAGACGGGATGTTCTGTAACACACATACACAGAGCTACAACATGACACACACACACACAGAGCTACAACATGACACACACACACAGCTGATACCACTGGTCCAGCCCCACAGACGGGATGTTCTGTAACACACACACACCCAGAGCTACAACATGACACACACACACAGCTGATACCACTGGTCCAGCCCCACAGACGGGATGTTCTGTAACACACACACACCCAGAGCTACAACATGACACACGCACACAGCTGATACCACTGGTCCAGCCCCACAGACGGGATGTTCTGTAACACACTCACACACAGAGCTACAACATGACACACACACACACAGCTGATACCACTGGTCCAGCCCCACAGACGGGATGTTCTGTAACACACACACACAGAGCTACAACATGACACAGACACACGCAGCTGATACCACTGGTCCAGCCCCACAGACAGGATGTTCTGTAACACACACACACAGAGCTACAACATGACACAGACACACGCAGCTGATACCACTGGTCCAGCCCCACAGACGGGATGTTCTGTAACACACACACACAGAGAGCTACAACATGACACACACACACAGCTGATACCACTGGTCCAGCCCCACAGACGGGATGTTCTGTAACACACACACACAGAGAGCTACAACATGACACACACACACACACACAGAGCTACAACATGACACACACACACAGAGCTACAACATGACACACACACACACAGCTGATACCACTGGTCCAGCCCCACAGACGGAATGTTCTGTAACACACACACACAGAGAGCTACAACATGACACACACACACACACACACACACACAGAGCTACAACATGACACACACACACGCACAGAGCTACAACATGACACACACACACACAGCTGATACCACTGGTCCAGCCCCACAGACGGGATGTTCTGTAACACAGTCACACAGAGAGCTAAAACATGACACACACACACCAAGAGCTACAACATGACACACACACAAGCAAAGCTACAACATGACACACACACACAGCTGATATCACTGGTCCAGCCCCACAGACGGGATGTTCTGTAACACACACACACAGAGCTACAACATGACACACACACACACAGCTGATACCACTGGTCCAGCCCCACAGACGGGATGTTCTGTAACACACACACCCAGAGCTACAACGTGACACACACACACACCCAGAGCTACAACATGACACAGACACACACAGCGGTCACCACTGGTCCAGTCCCACAGACGGGATGTTCTGTAACACACACACACACACACACACACACACACAGAGCTACAACATGACACACACACACACACACACACACACACACACACACACACACACACACACACACAGCTGATACCACTGGTCCAGGCCCACAGACAGGATGTTCTGTAACACACAAACACAGAGCTACAACATGACACACACACACCCAGAGCTACAACATGACACACACACACACACATAGCTACAACATGACACACACACCCACACACAGACATACAGAGTTACAATCCTGACAGACACACACACTGACACAAAGAGTTACAACATCACACACACACACACACACACACACATAGCTACAACATGACACACACACCCACACACAGACATACAGAGTTACAATCCTGACAGACACACACACTGACACAAAGAGTTACAACATCACACACACACACACACACACACACACACACACACACACACACACACACATAGCTACAACATGACACACACACAAAGAGAGAGACACAGAGTTACAACATGACACAGACACGCACACAGACATACAGATTTACAACATGACAGACACACACACAGACACACATAGACATGCATATAAAACCTTAACAGTAGTGATGGCTGGAACTACAAGTCATGTATATAAAGCCGTAACAGTAGTGATGACTAGAACTACAAGTCATGTATATAAAGCCTTAACAGTAGTGATGACTAGAACTACAAGTCATGTATACAAAGCCGTAACAGTAGTGATGACTAGAACTACAAGTCATGTATATAAAGCCGTAACAGTTGTGATGACTAGAACTACAAGGCATGTATACAAAGCCATAACAGTAGTGATGACTAGAACTACAAGTCATGTATACAAAGCCGTAACAGTAGTGATGACTAGAACTACAAGTCATGATTTATATCAGCTATCTATGCAGGCCTAGATCAATCCCAGAAAGGCGAGGAAAAGCATGAATTAAGTTCACAAAAGTGCCGGTACTACACACAGAGCTATGTACTAATATCATCTGCCACGCATCTTACGTCAAGTCCTATGTCCACACAGCCCAGGAAATCATCGATACTGCTGTCGTTTTTGGTGCGGGCTGACTGAGCAATCTGTTTGAAGAAACGTCCGAGCCCCCTGAAGCCCGACACCTCATTCAGGCTCTTGGCAGCATCGATGACAGAGAACTCCTCATCGTGATCCCTGTCACCAACAGCAGCAATATTACAGCATCAGCAAACATCACAGTGGGAAGTTCATAATCATACCCAATCTTGTTTTACCTTCAAGTATTGTCTAAAAACATACACTATCTTGCATAATGGATAACTTTTAACTCATCCCCAACCTGATGTGTTGTACATGTTGTATTGTACACTTTGTATTGTGTTGTACATCCTGTATTGTACACATTGTATTGTGGTGTACATCCTGTATTGTACACATTGTATTGTGTTGTACATCCTGTATTGTACACTTTGTATTGTGTTGTACATCCTGTATTGTACACATTGTATTGTGGTGTACATCCTGTATTGTACACATTGTATTGTGGTGTACATCCTGTATTGTACACATTGTATTGTGTTGTACATCCTGTATTGTACACATTGTATTGTGGTGTACATCCTGTATTGTACACATTGTATTGTGTTGTACATCCTGTATTGTACATGTTGTATTGTGTTGTACATCCTGTATTGTACACATTGTATTGTGTTGTACATTCTGTATTGTACACTTTGTATTGTGTTGTACATCCTGTATTGTACATCCTGTATTGTGTTGTACATGTTGTATTGCACACGTTGTATTGTGTTGTACATCCTGTATTGTACATGTTGTATTGCACACTTTGTATTGTGTTGTACATGTTGTATTGTACACTTCATATTGTGTTGTACAGCCTGTATTCTTCACTTTGTATTGTGTTGTACGTTGTATTGTACATGTTGTATTGTGTTGTACATCCTGTATTGTACATGTTGTATTGCACGTTGTATTGTGTTGTACATGTTGTATTGTACACATTGTATTGTGTTGTACATCATGTATTGTACTTTGTATTGTGTTGTACACTTTGTATTGTACACTTTGTATTGTGTTGTACATCCTGTATTGTACATGTTGTATTGTACACTTTGTATTGTGTTGTACATCCTGTATTGTACACTTTGTGTTGTGTTCTACATGTTATATTGTACACTTTGTATTGTGTTGTACATGTTGTATTGTACACATTGTATTGTGTTGTACATCCTGTATTGTACATGTTGTATTGTACACTTTGTATTGTGATGTACAGCCTGTATTGTACACTTTGTATTGTGTTGTACATGTTGTATTGTACATGTTGTATTGTGTTGTAGATCCTGTATTGTACATGTTGTATTGTACACTTTGTATTGTGTTGTACATGTTGTATTGTACACTTTGTATTGTGTTGTACATCCTGTATTGTACATGTTGTATTGTACACTTTGTATTGTGTTGTACATCCTGTATTGTACACTTTGTGTTGTGTTCTACATGTTATATTGTAAATTTTGTGTTGTGTTGTACATGTTGTATTGTACACATTGTATTGTGTTGTACATCCTGTAAGGTACATGTTGTATTGTACACTTTGTATTGTACATGTTGTATTGTGTTCTACATCCTGTATTGTACATGTTGTATTGTACACTTTGTATTGTGTTGTAAATGTTGTATTGTACATGTTGTATTGTACACTTTGTATTGTATTGTACATGTTGCATTGTACACTTTGTATTGTACACTTTGTATTGTGTTGTACATGTTATATTGTACATGTTTTATTGTACATTTTGTATTGTGTTGTACGTCCTGTATTGTACATGTTGTATTGTACACTTTGTATTGTGTTGTACATCCTGTATTGTACATGTTGTATTGCACTTTGTATTGTATTGTACATGTTGTATTGTACACTTTGTATTGTACACTTTGTATTGTGTTGTACATCCTGTATTGTACATGTTGTTTTGTACACTTTGTATTGTGTTATACATGTTATATTGTACACTTTGTATTGTGTTGTACATCCTGTATTGTACATGTTGTATTGTACACTTTGTATTGTGTTGTACATCCTGTATTGTACATGTTGTATTGTACACTTTGTATTGTATTGTACATGTTGTATTATACACTTTGTATTGTGTTGTACATCCTGTATTGTACATGTTGTATTGCACTCTGTATTGTATTGTACATGTTGTATTTTACACTTTGCATTGTACACTTTGTATTGTGTTGTACATCCTGTATTGTACATGTTGTATTGTACACTTTGTATTGTGTTGTACATGTTGTATTGTACACTTTGTATTGTGTTGTACATCCTGTATTGTACATGTTGTATTGTACACTTTGTATTGTGTTGTACATCCTGTATTGTATATGTTGTGTTGTGTTCTACATGTTATATTGTACACTTTGTATTGTGTTGTACATCCTGTATTGTACTTTGTATTGTGTTGTACAGCCTGTATTGTACACTTTGTATTGTATTGTACATGTTGTATTGTACGCTTTGTATTGTGTTGTACATCCTGTATTGTAAATGTTGTATTGCACACTTTGTATTGTGTTATACATGTTATATTGTACACTTTGTATTGTGTTGTACATCCTGTATTGTACATGTTGTATTGTACACTTTGTATTGTGTTGTACATCCTGTATTGTACATCATGTATTGTACACTTTGTATTGTATTGTACATGTTGTATTTTACACTTTGTATTGTGTTATACATGTTATATTGTACTTTATATTGTGTTGTACATCATGTATTGTACATGTTGTATTGTACACTTTGTATTGCGTTGTACATGTTGTATTGTACATCCTGTATTGTACACTTTGTATTGTATTGTACATGTTGTATTGTACACTTTGTATTGTGTTATACATGTTATATTGTACACTTTATATTGTGTTGTACATCATGTATTGTACATGTTGTATTATACACTTTGAATTGTGTTGTACAGCCTGTATTGTACATGTTGTATTGTATTGTACATGTTGTATTGTACACTTTGTATTGTGTTGTACATCCTGTATTGTACATGTTGTATTGTACACTTTGTATTGTGTTATACATGTTATATTGTACACTTTGTATTGTGTTGTACATCCTGTATTGTACTTTGTATTGTGTTGTACAGCCTGTATTTTACACTTTGTATTGTATTGTACATGTTGTATTGTACATGTTGTATTGTACACTTTGTATTGTGTTGTACATCCTGTATTGTACATGTTGTATTGTACACTTTGTATTGTATTGTACATGTTGTATTGTACACTTTGTATTGTTTTGTACATCCTGTATTGTACATGTTGTATTTTGGTTTCATTCAATATACAATGATCCCTCGCTACTACGCTACCTTCGGGGTCCAAATAATTGATGAGCATTATAGATGATCAGCGGTTTAACGAAGGTCGAGTCGTAGGTGGTAGATGACCAACAAAACAGTATACATGCTCTGCCTACCTAACATGATCTATGTTGCACGTTTCAGAAGTTATTCATGATTCATAGTGTAAAAAAAGAATTGATCGAGTATTAATCTGCGCTTCAAAAAACAACAACACATCATATCCCTTTGAGGTGAATAAGCAGGTAGATCTATAACAAACTTGGTCAATAAAAGTATGAAATTGGATATAATTGCTCCCAATCTACCGGTGATTTAGTTGAAACGTACCCAGTGATACCACTTTAAAAAAATATAATGCAATGGTCGGAAGAAACTGTATCTGAAATCATTATTTTATCAGAAATAATATATTCCAATATAATGTTATTTTAGCTGCAGCTTCCACCATATATACTTAAAATTATAAGAACCACAAGCGTAGCACTTTGGTACAGATTGTATGCAGGATATTTTTTGACGTATGGAACGATTTTGACCAGTCACCGTAAGGACTTCCCGCGCTACATGTATTTCGATTGCAAAAACGTTATGTTGACATTTAATAGACAAACTGCCTCAAATATGACTTTTAGCGAGTAATGGTACGACATTTATGATATGTGTATCCATTCTCTTGCAACTAAAGTTCGTTTAAAGGCATCAATAGCGGTAATCTGACCGTGGTTGCTGTAAATAACAGTGAGTTGTGCGATCTACCGATCACTTCGCATAAGATTATTATAATTATTGAATGAAATTTTGAATATAATTAAAAAAATAAATTGCAAACATTAGTCCAGATAAACAATGAACATTTTTTTTTATTACCAGATATTATAATAATCTAGAATGAAATTCCGTACTTCAGTTCGGATTTGTTGACTGGTATTTCCGGTGTTACGTGATCAGCTGATAATGTTTTCTGAGATGGGGGAAAACATCGCGTCATTGGAAAACTAGTAAATTTTGGGAGCCATGCTTTACCACGCGCTATAACCGAGTTAGCGCTATATTGAAGGGCGCAATAACAAGGGAACACTGTATTATATTTTCACTGATTTTGATGGAGACAAATTGCATTAGGGCAGTTTAATGATTTATTAACTTTTGACAGGACAAATTTGAAAAAAGTCCTTGGGCCATTTTGAATGACAGTCAGTGTCTTAGAACATTAACTGATCTGAAATCCAGTCATTTTACATTTTTTTTGCAACATCTACTTTCAAATATGAATAGCCAGAGCTTGACAATGACAAGTCTTCATTAGGGCTGAACTCTCCATATCATATAGTATTTAATAATCCCCGAGAGTACTGATCATTTCACACCCACCCAGAGCCCGTACATCATCACGGCAACCGCGTGACATCACCTTCAGCAAGAAATAAGCAGACATGATGCATGCTTCGAGAGCTTTCACACCACACCAATACACACATATATCCACTTTGAATATACTATTCCAGTTCTAATACTTACTAGAAAGAGAAAGTACTGATTTTTAAAAAATGGCCAAGATGTTTACTTTATTTGTTTTCAATTAGCATTAGTATTTTGTATTTGTTTCCAGGAATACAGTTATCAATGCGACTCCCCTGTAATCTGCTAATGTATAATGCTGGCTCTCGCTGACGACAGCCTCTCATTGCTTCATTATTCTCTCCTCAACCACATAGTCTCTATATTCGGAATAATTCACTTGGAAATAACCGCGCCTTCATTATTGCAGATTGTATGTTTTCTGGCAACATAATCAATCTTGCTAAGACTGGACCAGGGGTCTCATATATATCCTCCATATGCAGAAAATAATGAATAAACCATGAGCACACATCTCCTGGGAGGACGTCTATCACACCACGTCTCAAACATGGTCGTCATTCCAGGTGCAGGACTGATCATGTAACTATTTGTTTAAGCCTTTGCCTGTATGAGAAGGAGGAATTCGTAACAGAAACGACAGGCAGGAATGAATGCTTTTAGGTCAACTTGGAAAATCTCAAGTGTAAAACGGGCTTCATAACATATTAGGTTTCTATTTGTCACTACAAGAGGAAGATGATATAATCATATTTGATTAAAATACAATGCGTTGACAAGAGATAAGTACATGTATTGCCAGTTAGGCAAGGCACAGACAAATAGGCAAAATCATGTCTTTATTGGATAGAGCGTGGGAGGGTGAGAGTAAATCCGTTATGGAGCGTGGATGAGAGTGAATCTGTTATGGAGTATGGGTGAGAGTGAATCCGTTATGGAGCGTGGGTGAGAGTGAATCCGTTATGGAGTGTGGGTGAGAGTGAATCTGTTATGGAGCATGGGTGAGAGTGAATCTATTATGGAGCATGGGTGAGGGTGAATCCGTTATGGAGCGTTGGTGAGAGTGAATCTGTTATGGAGTGTGGGTGAGAGTGAATCTGTTATGGAGCATGGGTGAGGGTGAATCCGTTTTGGAGTGTTGGTGAGAGTGAATCTGTTATGGAGTGTAGGTGAGGGTGAATCTGTTATGGAGTGTAGGTGAGGGTGAATCTGTTATGGAGCGTGGGTGAGAGTGAATCTGTTATGGAGCGTGGGTGAGAGTGAATCTGTTATGGAGTGTGGGTGAGAGTGAATCTGTTATGGAGTGTGGGTGAGAGTGAATCTGTTATGGAGGATGGGTGAGGGTGAATCCGTTATGGAGCATGGGTGAGGGTGAATCCGTTATGGAGCGTTGGTGAGAGTGAATCTGTTATGGAGTGTAGGTGAGGGTGAATCCGTTATGGAGCTTGGGTGAGAGTGAATCTGTTATGGAGCATGGGTGAGGGTGAATCCGTTATGGAGCGTTGGTGAGAGTGAATCTGTTATGGAGTGTAGGTGAGGGTGAATCCGTTATGGAGCGTGGGTGAGAGTGAATCTGTTATGGAGTGTGGGTGAGAGTGAATCTGTTATGGAGCATGGGTGAGAGTGAATCCGTTATGGAGCGTGGGTGAGAGTGAATCTGTTATGGAGCGTGGGTGAGAGTGAATCTGTTATGGAGTGTGGGTGAGAGTGAATCTGTTATGGAGCGTGGGTGAGAGTGAATCCGTTATGGAGCATGGGTGAGGGTGAATCCGTTATGGAGCGTTGGTGAGAGTGAATCTGTTCTGGAGCATGGGTGAGGGTGAATCCGTTATGGAGCATGGGTGAGGGTGAATCCGTTATGGAGCGTTGGTGAGAGTGAATCTGTTATGGAGCATGGGTGAGAGTGAATCCGTTATGGAGCGTGGGTGAGAGTGAATCCGTTATGGAGTGTGGGTGAGGGTGAATCCGTTATGGAGCGTTGGTGAGGGTGAATCCGTTATGGAGTGTGGGTGAGAGTGAATCTGTTATGGAGTATGGGTGAGAGTGAATCCGTTATGGAGTGTGGGTGAGAGTGAATCTGTTATGGAGTGTGGGTGAGGGTGAATCCGTTATGGAGCGTTGGTGAGAGTGAATCTGTTATGGAGTGTGGGTGAGGGTGAATCTGTTATGGAGTGTAGGTGAGGGTGAATCCGTTATGGAGTGTGGGTGAGAGTGAATCTGTTATGGAGTATGGGTGAGAGTGAATCCGTTATGGAGTGTGGGTGAGAGTGAATCTGTTATGGAGTGTGGGTGAGGGTGAATCCGTTATGGAGCGTTGGTGAGAGTGAATCTGTTATGGAGTGTGGGTGAGGGTGAATCTGTTATGGAGTGTAGGTGAGGGTGAATCCGTTATGGAGTGTGGGTGAGAGTGAATCTGTTATGGAGTATGGGTGAGAGTGAATCCGTTATGGAGCGTTGGTGAGAGTGAATCTGTTATGGAGTGTGGGTGAGGGTGAATCTGTTATGGAGTATGGGTGAGAGTGAATCTGTTATGGAGCATGGGTGAGGGTGAATCCGTTATGGAGCATGGGTGAGGGTGAATCCGTTATGGAGCGTTGGTGAGAGTGAATCTGTTATGGAGCATGGGTGAGAGTGAATCCGTTATGGAGCGTGGGTGAGAGTGAATCCGTTATGGAGTGTGGGTGAGGGTGAATCCGTTATGGAGCGTTGGTGAGGGTGAATCCGTTATGGAGTGTAGGTGAGAGTGAATCTGTTATGGAGTATGGGTGAGAGTGAATCCGTTATGGAGTGTGGGTGAGAGTGAATCTGTTATGGAGTGTGGGTGAGGGTGAATCCGTTATGGAGCGTTGGTGAGAGTGAATCTGTTATGGAGTGTGGGTGAGGGTGAATCTGTTATGGAGTATGGGTGAGAGTGAATCCGTTATGGAGTGTGGGTGAGGGTGAATCCGTTATGGAGCGTTGGTGAGAGTGAATCTGTTATGGAGTGTGGGTGAGGGTGAATCTGTTATGGAGTGTAGGTGAGGGTGAATCCGTTATGGAGTGTGGGTGAGAGTGAATCTGTTATGGAGTATGGGTGAGAGTGAATCCGTTATGGAGCGTTGGTGAGAGTGAATCTGTTATGGAGTGTGGGTGAGGGTGAATCTGTTATGGAGTATGGGTGAGAGTGAATCCGTTATGGAGTATGGGTGAGAGTGAATCTGTTATGGAGTATGGGTGAGAGTGAATCCGTTATGGAGCATGGGTGAGAGTGAATCTGTTATGGAGTATGGGTGAGAGTGAATCCGTTATGGAGTATGGGTGAGAGTGAATCCGTTATGGAGTGTGGGTGAGAGTGAATCTGTTATGAAGCGTGGTTGATAGTGGCGTAACGATACGGCGATACAGTATTGTATCCCATTGCACAGCCTACGATATGATGCATCGATTTGGAAAGCATGTATCGCGATACATACAATATTTTCATAACACAGTTTTACTTACCATATTTTCTTGAGTATAGTGCGCCCTTTTTTCCCAAAAACACAGCTGTGTAGAAGGGGATGCGCATTATACACGAATTAATGAGTTTTGAAGTTTTTCCCCCATGGAAAGACATTACCGTGAGCACGTAACACCGGAAATACCATGTCAACAAATCCATACTGAAGTTCGCAAATTATTCATGTTATTACACTGTCTGGCTAGAAAAAGTGTTCTTTGTATATCTGGACTTTTGTTTGTAACTTATTTCATTAATTTTATTCAAAATTCCTTTTAATATTGTTTTAAATAATTTCGGCGAAATCGTGTATGAAGCGATCGGAAGATCGCACAACTCACTGTTATTAACAGCAACCACGGTCAGATTACCGCCATTGATGCCTTGAAACGAACTTTAGTTGACAGAGAATGGATACATATATCATAAATGCCATACTTTGATTCGTTAAAAGTCATATTTGTTTTTGTTGGACGATTCTATGTCAATTCTCGCGATCAAGCGATCACGTGCACGGGAGCCTTGACGGTGACTGGTCAGACTGGTTCCATGTAAAAAATAATACCCGGCAATGGCGATCAGCTGCTTCGCTTAGGGTTATTATTATTTTAAATATGTTTAGTAAAAGCTGCATCTAAATTAACAAGATATTGGAATATATTATTCCTGATAAAAAAAATAGTTTCAGATCCAACTTTTGCCGATCCTTGCATTAAAATGCTGTAAAGTTATATCATTGGGTGTGTCTTGACCGAATCACCGGTAGATTCCAAGAAAATGTGTGTACAGCTGATTGCTGTGTCCGGCTAAGTTTACGAGAAAATACACAAGGTAATCTTAATCCCTGGATATAAAACAATGCCTAGCTGAACAAAAAATATAATTTAAACGGTAAATCAACATGTCTGGTGTTTTTTTATCTCAAATTTCGAATTTGTACTGATGAAGTTTCTCATCACCCGTTTGTTTGCCGGACTTCGCTGAAGGAGTACAGTGTAATTTTTTCTGCGCATAATATTCAATTATTTTTTTTTCCAAAATATTGAACCCGCTAGAGGGGGGTGGGCATTATACATTGGTGCGCACTATACTTAAGAAAATACATGAAATACGTTTAACAGTTTCAAAGCCAGTTTGTTGTTTCAGTAAAACATACTGTATTGCTGACAATTTGCTATAACAGTAAATAAACACCTTATATCTTCTTCAACTGTACTTGTCACATCTTTTAGAGAGCAGAAAGACATCAACTTGGCTTACCTTGTACCAGTAAACACTGTATCGTGATACGTATCATATCGCGACCCCTGTATCACGATACGTAACGTATCGCGACCCTCCCGTATCGTTACACCTCTAGTGGTTGAGTGTGAATCCGTTATGGAGTGTGGGTTAGGGTGAATCCATTATGGAGTGTGGGTGAGGGTGAATCCGTTATTGATGTCAATACAGGAGGCAACGTGTAGCAATGGAGCCCTGGCATCGGACAGTGCTATACTTATTGTTATACTTATTATCAATAATAAGCTATTGGTTACAGGCAACTTACAGCCTCATGTCTGTAATCACTGAACATTCCACACTGAAGTGTGTAAGACATAAAGGCCCTTCTGGTATCACTTCAATCTCTTAAGACTCAAACCTAGCACTGCAGGTAAATATCTCTTGTATTTACAATCTTTAAAATACAGACATATATTCTGACCATCATTAACTTATCTGATTATGTGTTTACTGAAAGGGGCATGGGTGGTTGAGTGGGGTAAGGCACTGTAAGGAGCTTTGCAGGATCAGCTGTACTTGAGCCATCAGCGCTGTACCCATGATCACTGGTTTCACCAAAGTGATAATTCCTGGGTCACCTTGCCATTTCCTCCCACCCCTGATATGAATGAAATACAGTTCCACGTGACATTTATCCCAAGTATAGTGCAACTCACCAGATGTCCAAATGGAACCGGTCAGTGTGGGCAGCATCCAAGTCACTGTTAAAGAAAAATGAAAATGATTGTCAACTTTTCAAAACTATCAAAATTCACACCGATAGCTGGTATTCAAAACTAACAAAAGAATGTATAGTCTACCACTAACACTGACAGATAACAGGCAGCCATCCTCTAACACTGACAGACAACAGGCAGCCATCCTCTAACACTGACAGATAGCAGGCAGCCATCCTCTAACACTGACAGATAACAGGCAGCCATCCTCTAACACTGACAGATAACAGGCAGCCATCCTCTAACACTGACAGATAGCAGGCAGCCATCCTCTAACACTGACAGATAACAGGCAGCCATCCTCTAACACTGACAGATAACAGGCAGCAATCCTCTAACACTGACAGATAACAGGCAGCCATCCTCTAACACTGACAGACAACAGGCAGCCATCCTCTAACACTGACAGATAGCAGGCAGCCATCCTCTAACACTGACAGATAACAGGCAGCCATCCTCTAACACTGACAGATAGCAGGCAGACATCCTCTAACACTGACAGATAACAGGCAGCCATCCTCTAACACTGACAGATAACAGGCAGCCATCCTCTAACACTGACAGACAACAGGCAGCCATCCTCTAACACTGACAGATAGCAGGCAGCCATCCTCTAACACTGACAGATAACAGGCAGCCATCCTCTAACACTGACAGATAACAGGCAGCCATCCTCTAACACTGACAGACAACAGGCAGCCATCCTCTAACACTGACAGATAACAGGCAGCCATCCTCTAACACTGACAGATAACAGGTACACATCCTCTAACACTGACAGATAACAGGTACACATCCTCTAACACTGACAGATAACAGGTACACATCCTCTAACACTGACAGATAACAGGCAGCCATCCTCTAACACTGACAGATAACAGGCAGCCATCCTCTAACACTGACAGATAACAGGCAGCCATCCTCTAACACTGACAGATAACAGGCAGCCATCCTCTAACACTGACAGATAACAGGCAGCCATCCTCTAACACTGACAGATAACAGGTACACATCCTCTAACACTGACAGATAACAGGCAGCCATCCTCTAACACTGACAGATAACAGGCAGCCATCCTCTAACACTGACAGATAACAGGTACACATCCTCTAACACTGACAGATAACAGGCAGCCATCCTCTAACACTGACAGACAACAGGCAGCCATCCTCTAACACTGACAGAAAACAGGTACACATCCTCTAACACTGACAGACAACAGGCAGCCATCCTCTAACACTGACAGATAACAGGCAGCCATCCTCTAACACTGACAGATAACAGGTACACATCATCAAACGCTGACAGATAACAGGTACACATCATCAAACGCTGACAGATAACAGGCAGCCATCCTCTAACACTGACAGAAAACAGGTACACATCCTCTAACACTGACAGACAACAGGCAGCCATCCTCTAACACTGACAGATAACAGGTACACATCATCAAACACTGACAGATAACAGGTACACATCATCAAACGCTGACAGATAACAGGCAGCCATCCTCTAACACTGACAGACAACAGGCAGCCATCCTCTAACACTGACAGACAACAGGCAGCCATCCTCTAACACTGACAGATAACAGGTACGCATCATCAAACGCTGACAGAAAAAAGGCAGCCATCCTCTAACACTGACAGATAGCAGGCAGACATCCTCTAACACTGACAGATAACAGGTACACATCATCAAACGCTGACAGATAACAGGCAGCCATCCTCTAACACTGACAGATAGCAGGCAGACATCCTCTAACACTGACAGATAACAGGTACACATCATCAAAAGCTGACAGATAACAGGTACACATCATCAAACGCTGACAGATAACAGGTACACATCCTCTAACATTGGCAGATAACAGGTACACATCTTTTAAATTGACAGATAACAGGTACACATCCTCTAACACTGACAGATAATAGACTTATAGACTAATCTTGCTGTGACCGTTGTGAGTTTTGTGCGTCCATCTCAATGTAACCCGTGTGTGTGATGTGCGGCCATCTCGATGTAACCCTCGTTCGTGATGTGCAGCCATCTAGATGTGACTGGTGTGCTTGATGAGCAGGCCATCTCGATGTGACCAGTGTGCATGATATGAGGCCATCTTGATGTGACCGTTGTGAGTTTTGTGCGTCCATCTAGATGTGACCAGTGTGCGTGATGTGCAGCCATCTCGATGTAACCCATGTGCGTGATGTGCTGCCATCTAGATGTGACTGGTGTGCGTGATGTGCGGCCATCTTGCTGTGACTGGTGTGCGTGATGTGCGGCCATCTCGATGTGACTGGTGTGAATGATGTGCGGCCATCTGGATGTGACTGGTGTGCGTGATATGCGGCCATCTAGATGTGACTAGTGTGCGTGATGTGCGGCCATCTTGCTGTGAGTGGTGTGCGTCCATCTTGATGTGACCAGTGTGCGTGATGTCCGGCCATCTTGCTGTGAGTGGTGTGCGGCCATCTCAATGTGACCAGTGTGCGTGATGTGAGCCCATCTTGATGTGACGGTTATAAGTTTTGTGCGTCCATCTAGATGTGACCAGTGTTCATGATGTGCGGCCATCTTGATGTGACCCGCGTGCGTGATGTGCGGCCATCTTGATGTGACCCGTGTGCGTGATGTGCAGCCATCTCGATGTGACCCGTGTGCGTGATGTGCGGCCATCTTGATGTGACTGGTGTGCATGATGCGCGGCCATCTTGATGTGACAGGTGTGCGTGGTGTGCAGCCATCTCAATGTGACTGGTGTGCGTGATGTGCAGCCATCTGGATGTGACCAGTGTGCGTGATGTGCGGCCATCTGGATGTGACAGGTGTGCGTGGTGTGCAGCCATCTCAATGTGACTGGTGTGCGTGATGTGCAGCCATCTCGATGTGACCAGTGTGCGTGATGTGCGGCCATCTGGATGTGACAGATGTGCGTGGTGTGCGGCCATCTCGATGTGACCCGTGTGGTTGATGTGCGGCCACCTTGATGTGACAGGTGTGCGTGGTGTGCGGCCATCTTGATGTGACCCATGTGCGTGATGTGCGGCCATCTTGATGTGACAGGTGTGCGTGGTGTGCGGCCATCTCGATGTGACTGGTGTGCGTGATGTGCGGCCATCTTGAAGTGACAGGTGTGCGTGGTGTGCAGCCATCTTGATGTGACTGGTGTGCGTGATGTGCGCCCATCTTGATGTGACCAGTCTGCATGAAGTGCGGCCATGTCGATGTGACCAGTGTGCGTGATGTGCAGCCATCTTGATGTGACTGGTGTGCGTGATGTGCGGCCATCTTGAAGTGACAGGTGTGCGTGGTGTGCAGCCATCTTGATGTGACAGGTGTGCGTGGTGTGCGGCCATCTTGATGTGACCCGTGTGCGTGATGTGCGGCCATCTTGATGTGACAGGTGTGCGTGGTGTGCGGCCATCTCGATGTGACTGGTGTGCGTGATGTGTGCCCATCTTGATGTGACCAGTCTGCATGAAGTGCGGCCATCTCGATGTGACCAGTGTGCGTGATGTGCAGCCATCTTGATGTGACCCGTGTGCGTGATGTGCAGCCATCTCGATGTGACTGGTGTGCGTGATGTGCAGCCATCTTGATGTGACTGGTGTGCGTGATGTGCGGCCATCTTGAAGTGACAGGTGTGCGTGGTGTGCGGCCATCTCGATGTGACCCGTGTGCGTGATGTGCGGCCATTTATATGTGACCTTTGTGCGTGATGTGCAGCCATCTAGATGTGACCCATGTGCGTGATGTGCGGCCATCTTGACGTGACTGGTGTGCGTGATGTGCGGCCATCTTGATGTGACTGGTGTGCATGATGTGCGGCCATCTCGATGTGACCAGTGTGCGTGATGTGCAGCCATCTTGATGTGACCCGTGTGCGTGATGTGCGGCAATCTCGATGTGACAGGTGTGCGTGATGTGTGGCCATCTTGATGTGACTGGTGTGCGTGATGTGCGGCCATCTAGATGTGACTGATGTGCGTGATGTGCGCCCATCTCGATGTGACCAGTGTGCGTGATGTGCAGCCATCTTGATGTGACCCGTGTGCTTGATGTGCGGCCATCTCGATGTGACTGTAGTGCGTGATGTGCGGCCATCTTGATGTGACCAGTGTGTGTGATGTGCGGCCATCTCGATGTGACCGGTGTGCATAATTTGCAGTCACTGACAGAAGGCTTTAGACAGATTAAGCTGGTGCTGGTGCTGACACTTCAGCGTTATAAACTGGCACTAGTCATGTAGTCCTTGCCAAACTGCCCAACAGTTAAGGTAAGAACTAGTAGACATTTGCCATTTTTAAGGACTAGTGGACTAAAAGTGGTAGTTTATCTGTGGTTTCAATTTTAGGATTGTCTCTTTTCTAGAATTTCACAAGATGAAGTGAATGGAATGGTGTTGGTTTTCTACATGATCTGATAAATTCACATGATGCAATCCACAGAATGAAAACAAAAATGGTCACCCCCGGCCGTTTGCCCATTCTTCCATTGACATTACCAATCAGTGACATTTAGTCCTGGCTTCCAGTTGTCCAACACTATCAGCGCTAATTACTGTAAAGTGTTGGCTTCCATTGTCTATTGCTTATCACCTATCAGCGCTAATTACTGTAAAGTGTGGGCTTCCATTGTCTATTGCTTATCACCTATCAGCGCTAATTACTGTAAAGTGTTGGCTTCCATTGTCTATTGCTTATCACCTATCAGCGCTAATTACTGTAGTGTTGGCTTCCATTGTCTATTGCTTATCACCTATCAGCGCTAATTACTGTAAAGTGTGGGCTTCCATTGTCTATTGCTTATCACCTATCAGCGCTAATTACTGTAAAGTGTGGGCTTCCATTGTCTATTGCTTATCACCTATCAGCGCTAATTACTGTAGTGTTGGCTTCCATTGTCTATTGCTCATCACCTATCAGCGCTAATTACTGTAAAGTGTTGGCTTCCATTGTCTATTGCTTATCACCAATCAGCGC